GGATTTTAAAAATGTCAATGTTTTTGCCATCCATCATCAATTTTTAAAAATTGTACATCAATGACCCTTTTTGCTTCACTTTCTCTTTTAATTTCCAATTTAAAAGTTCAAGCTTTTTTTTTCATTGATTCAATCAATAAACTTGTGTTATTTTTATATTTGTAGGCATTTTTCCAAAGAAGGCCTACAAGTTCATTGAACGTGAGAAAGTAATTTTTTTTCAATTCCTCTTGCCAAAAATGAAATGAAAATCAAAGTTCCTTTTGGTTCCTTTTCTAATCTAATTATGGTTGATTAATTTCTACGCAAAACTAATTTGATTAATAATATTTTCTACACTTATCCTTTCACGAACATCTTGTGCTCATTAATTAATGCGTTAAGGTTACAAGGGTATCGATGGAAACGATTTTTCGTCCTTGACATTACATTTATTTCCTGTGGCTTATTAATATTAATTTTTTGTTATTAATGTTCGTGTTTCGGATTCAAACTTTTAGAAGAACTCAACGACTAGTAAAAAGTTAAAATATCAATCGGAACTTACCGACAAATTTTGACAATTTTAACCTTGAAAGGGGCCGTTCACTTATGACGTCCAGGGGGGGGGGGGGGGGGGGTCAGCAAGAAAAGAACAATAGAAATTCCTGGAAATTCATTGTTCTTTTATGATTAATTTTTAACTTAATGTACATCCAACCTGAATGTTACGTAACTTCATCCATTTACATCTAGTCTTACAGCAAAGTTTATCATGACAGTTCAATTCTAATTCTTTGTTTTTAATACAAATTTTGTTAAACTTTCAAAATTCGACAAAAATTGCAACAAAATTCGTTAATGTCAAATGCACAATGATTCAGATTCGGAAAAAAATGTTCAAAAATTCAAAAATAACATATTAATTAAACTTCATCTTTTAAATGCCAGATTAAAGATCTCAACTTAAGGTATATTCAGTGAAAATATCTCGTTTCAATTTGATGTCTAACTCCAGAAATCTTTAATTTATTTTCAACAAAAATTTGTTTACAATTTGTATATGGAAAAAAAACTTTGATTTTCTCTATTTTAAGTTGTTATTTCCATATCTTGCTAGCTGTTGTTTGCAAAGTTAAGCTTAGATTTGCATATGAAAACTACCAAATCAAAAGAAAACTGCTTATTAAGTCTTAAAAATGCAATTGAAATCTGAGTATTTTTGATATTTTTACAAAACTTAAACTATTCATAAGTTAAAAAGTCTTCCAAAGACCTCTCTGAAACCTATATAAATCAATTATTTAAGCTTAAATCTATCTCCAATACTAATATGGTCATGCCGTTTAATGCCGTTTTCGAGATATTTGCGTTCAAAGTTTACATAAATTTTCATACAAAAATTGGACATGCACTTTATATTATGGACTGAATTTTTGAGCAATTAATGAAAACATTATGTAGAAGATGCTAAAAGAATCAAATCAAAAGAAATCAACAAAAACTTTCAATTTTCTAATGTGTCAGAAAAGTATTGAGCACAAGGAAATTTTAAACACTTTTTCCAAATCTGAATCATTGTGAAATGTAAGTATCTCAATCATAATTTAACGACTGAACAACAATAAGACCATTAAAATGAAGTAAGTGTCGAATAAACGCCTCCTCAAAAGCCTCTTTGGCACCATCAATCAATGCATTGAAAGGAAATGCTTATTTAATGCCAAATAGAACATTTTACAACAACAATTTCAATCACATTTAGTCAGAAATAAAAGAAAATGACAGCGATCATTAATAAATAATTTTGTTCATTATTTTCAACCTTTTCGATGCCAAAAATATATTCTTTTTCAACAAGATACTAAAGTATGTGCGTTATGTACATTAAATTATGTGGTTTGGACGAAAACTAGCGAATTGAAAATTTCTCAGTCTCTTTTCGTCTGTTTGTTATCTTCTAGAAAATAACAGAAACATATACCATGACCTATATTTTCATTCAGCATTTACACCCACACCAAAAATTCCCCATTGATATTGTTTGGCGACAATTTTAAGCATTTCGTACACATCATGTTCAGATAATAAATAAATTTATTTTTATTGTTATTGAATTTATTATCACAACAACTTGTAAAAGAGAAACAGAAGTGTGACAAAATGGACAGTTCCGAGATTCAATGTGTCTGATATTTACACATCATTGAGCTTTCAGGAAAGCTCGATAAGATCAGGCGCGTGGTAAAATTGTTACAATAAAATTTCATTTCATCATTGGCATGCATGGATTCGCATATAATCCCATTCTAGAAGGTCGAATTTTATTGCGATGCATAGAGATGCACGTAATGCTACATAATCTAGTGAGTTCTGTAATTTGAATATTTTCTTCTTTAAAAGCTTAGCTGGATTTTCAAATATGTAGCTTGCAAAATTTATAGCTTCGAAACTATCAGATTTACTTTATAAGCTAAAAGGAATTAGGAACTGTTCACAGATACCTTTTGATAGCTCAACAGAGAGTTCAAGTCAATATCCCGCTACTCAAATCATACACTTTCATCAAGCTTTAGCTATTAAGTCCTTTGACAGTACAAAAACATGTCTTCAAAGTGATTGAAAATTAAATTAACTTCGCAGTAAACAAAGAAATTTGAATTCTTCTATTTTTATAGAAACAAACAATACAAATTTACACAAAGACTCTTTGCATCCAGTGAATATATCGTCAACTTCTATCTCATCTCGCAAATATGCAAGCGATTCGCACACGAGAAGACGAAGAAATGTAGTAGTACGAGAGATTAGTATATAACTGACAGCTGTTTAAAATCAAATTGAAAATTATTGTAGATGAGGTTCAGATTTTTTCGGAATTTTTAAGGAACTTCTTCTTAATTTGCCAAACATTCTCTTCAAGAACCAGTGACTGTAAATGATTAGTACTGAATGGAGAAAACGCGAATCAGCACACATGTGAGTCAAAACCAGCATTATTTATGAAATGATTTTGAGGTATAAGCAAACAAAAGAGAGAGAATAAAGAGAAATTCAGTTTCGGTTAAAGGAGAAATGAAGGACGGAGATAACATTTTCATTTTCACGTTCTGACAAGAGGGTTCTTATACCTCTTGCACGTAGATTTGTTCATGGATAAAAACATTCGTTTGCCGGTACCTTGATATTTCAAGTACGCATATCGCCATTCATTCTTGAAATTTTAATAAACATTCGCACGTCACTTGCGAGAGTGTATTTTATTTTATGGCTATGAATATTTCGATAATGTGTAACTTAACACATCCAATGAATCACACTTAAAAATATGAAAAAGCACATTTTTGAGTGTTTTACCGCATTTTCATCAATGAAAGGTTTTCTCATTTTTGCCTGTACACAAGGCTAGCTTTAACAGTTTAAGCTTTTATGAGCTTTTAAGTTTGAACTGCCTGTGTTGGGTTTGAAGTCGCACAATAAGAAGGGGTGGGGTTAAAGATCAGTAAGAATTATTAATCATTTATTCAAAAAAAATTTGAGCATAATTTTCAAATCTTTTTCAACCGTTATTAAAGATTGTAATTTTATGCCGGGAAAATGCGCTTTTGTAAATAACAAATAGTCACGTCTGTATTAAATCTTCGTTTTCCCGTTCACTACTATACAAAAATCACTTTTCTTCCCGTCCGAGAGTAGAAAAAAAGAAAAAAATTGTTCCTTTCACTCACTGCCAAGCAGTGAGGAAAAAAAAAATCAACGCGTCATAAGCATTTTGCAAGAGGAAAAAAATTTTCACAGGCGTTTTCTTTTCTATTTTGCATAACTTTTTGTATACTAGCAGCAATTTATAGATTTCACGTAAATTTCCTCGTTTTTCCAACTCACACGATTTTCATGACATTGTGTCGTGAGACTTTTTCCATGTTTTATATGTTCTGTCTAGCTATTTAATGAAGAAGCTTTATTATTACATCATTTTTGGATGCAACTATTTGTCATGTTTCACATTCACAGACTTTTTCACATATCTTCTTTCACATTCACAGCTATGCACCGAACTATAAAATTGATCATGTACTCACCATTTTGTAAATGATTTGCTTGATAAGCATTCTGAAACATTGCTTGCTCACTGTTACTTGATTTTTCATTCGTGTCATTCGAGAAACTGAGTTAAAGGCATTGGGAGCAAGGGACTTTTATAGAAAATACAACTTTTCGTGTTGTCTCATTTTGGCACATATATTGGAAAATTGTAATAAATTGAGGGATGCTTCTGCGCATATAAAAAGCGATCACATACTTTATATTTGGTGAGAGAGAAAGAGCAATTAATAAAAATATATATTTGAGAGAGCAATTTTTGTTTGTTAGAAAATTGAAGCAGCTACGAACGACGAGACTTCACATTGGACTTGAAACGACTTTTTTTTTTCTTTCTTTCTTCTCTTTCAATCAAATGTCTATAAAGAGAGTTTTATGACAGACCACGTGTTGATGCCTTCCAAAAAAAATTGAAATAGAAGATGAGCATGAAATAAATTGATTGCGGCGACAAGAGTGGAATGAATAATTTATCACATGAACAAGTGTTACTTGAGCTTTTTTTTTTATTCTTAATGAAAGCTTTTTAATTTGATTCATTTTTTATTTCTTTAATTTATTGAAATTTATTGGGTATGTGAAAAATAAATTGGGTGATATTTAATCGTCAATGACAATTTTAAGAAAAATAAGAAGTAATTCTTACAAGAAAATAGACACCTTTAAATAGCTTCCTATTAATAACTTTGTTGATACTCAAATAACGTCTTTTTAAACTCGTATAACTTTTAACGGTTATAAAAAATTTGAAAAAAGCGGGAAATGTTGCTTCAAAAAATTACCAAACATTTCGCAAAAACATGCTAATCAATGTTTACGTTTGACAAATTGAAGATTTACTGATAGTCAAGCGCTTAATCAGCATAATTATGGTATGGTTCACGATAATATGAATTTTTTCTGTAGAGCATTAAATAATATTTGTGATTTTCAGTAGAAATATTGCACAATTCAGAAAAGCGATGACTATAAATGACACGGATTAGACTGGGTTTTGTTGGGGATGGTCGTTTTATTGAGGAAATTGACATTTCATGACATAAATGTTATTACCTTAATATTATGTTTTAAATTGGCTCTTAATATGTATGTTATGGATTTATTATGGTTTTATCAAGTTTGATGAAGAGAACTGAGGAACTGACGCATGTAAAGCAATTGAGTTAAACAATTTTAGCGTATTTCATAATATGATTAATTAAACTTACCACTCTTAAATACTTGAAATGATTATAATTAAAATTGTATAATTAAGTTTTTTAAGCACAATTTAAAAATAAAAGTTAAGTGAAGCAATTAGGAAAAACAACAAATTCAAAAATATGCACAAAACCCGGCAGCAAACACTAAAACGGTAACGACCTGGCTTTTAAATGGTTTTTAAATTTTAAATTGCTTGACAGAATTTTTAAAAATAGATTTTTGGTAACTTAATCAGGGTTTTGACAAAAGATATATGTGTTAATAAGTTTTAAGCGCTGAAACGATAGTGTTAAATGTATTATAATTAATTGTGAAGCTGATTTGCATTGAAAAAGTTGCAAAATAATAAATTCTCAAGATGAACACAACGCCAAACAAAACAAATTTAAATAAAACTCCAAATAATTGGTCATGGCTGGAAAATACAAATGATTCTCCATCGTCGAGTGATGGGATGTCTAAAAACTTAGAGAATCAAGATTTAAATAAGAGTTTTGATAGTGCAACAGCAAATGGCAGAAGAGGCAGACCAAAAAGTGAAATTTTAACATCATTAATGCTCCAAGGAAGTACTTCTCCATCGGCAATCAAGTGTAAATTCTGTAACCGTGTCTTCCCACGAGATAAATCACTAGCTGCACATCTCCGCACTCATACAGGTAATTAAAGAAATTTCTATTCATTGTACTTAAGGTTATAAGATTCTAATTGTTTTTCTTGCTTGTTTATAGGAGAGAAGCCTTACATCTGTGATTTCCCACTATGCTCTCGTGCATTTACTCAAAGTGGACAGCTCAAAACTCATCAGAGACTACATACAGGCGAACGTCCTTTCAGGTAAGAACTTTATTGTTTCTGGATCTCAATAGAATCTAATTTTAAGTATTATCTTACAGTTGCAGTGCACCAAATTGCCAAATGAGATTTACTCATGCAAATCGTCATTGTCCTGATCATCCATATCAGGCATTAAAGAGATGTGATGATGAGTTCCTTTTAAATCCACAACCAGAAGAGCAGAGCACAGAAATCTTAAAATGGCTTCAAAAGTATCGTGAAGAAAGACAACAGCAATTAATTCAGGCACAATCTCCATCACCAAGTCCCAATTCGACAGCTAGGAAGACTCCAAAACGTCCATCGTCATCATCAAGCATGAAAGGAAGTGACGAGAATAAGAGGAGAGTTTTTAGTAAATCTATAATTGATTTAAAGGCACAGGAAAATTGTGATATAAGCAGTAGCAGCAGCAGCAACCACAACAATAAGGAATTGATTGCAATGTCGCCGAGTAAGGCAGCTAGGAAAGGCTTTATGTGTGAAATGGATATGAATGCTGGAAAGGCAGAAAATATTCAAAGCTCAACACCAATTCAGAAACAAAATTATGCTTCAGATGCTATAGATCTTGCCATTATTGGAAGTCCAGTTTCGACAAATAAACCAAAACATTGTAGACCCAAAATTATTCTATGGAAGGAACCGATGGATGATAATGATGAGGAAGAATCGTCACTTAATAATGACGAGAATATCCTTAAACCGACAGAAATTAGTGGACCCAGTGAAAAGAATTTATCGGTTCCATCGCCCAAGAAATTATTTAATCCAAAAAAGAAATGGTTGCGTGAAGCATGCCAAGATTTAGGAACTCAGCCGTTGGATTTTGGAACTAATCATCCACTTTATAATAGACTTCAAACGCAGGCTGTTAATGAAACAATGACTAATAATCCACAATTATTGAGCTTATCGAATAATCATATTGTAAGGCCGAGTGTAATAATAATGGCTAAAGAAAAGAAGGAATGAATCGTCATGTCTAAGTTTTTGCACAAGTTTTTTTTCTCTCGTACCTACATAAAGTTTTATTAAATGCACAGATATAGATATAGAGAATGTATTTTCATAAATTTATTATTTTCAATAAATTGTACTACATTTTTATACAATTAAATCACACTTTTAATTCATAATCTATTGTAATTAATAAAACTTTTCAGGTTGTGTATATGATTTTTGGCGCGAAAATATTTCGATTCTCAGGCGTGTGCTGAAGTTACAAAGTAGTTATCTTATTATTCCTAGTTATTATAATTTATTGAGTATTAATAATGAGTTCTTTTGGTGTGAAGAACAAGTTTGGTGGAGGTGGAAATCCAGGAACAAGTAAAAAGTTCAAGTAAGTAATGAAAATTCTTTAATTATGGGAATATTTGAGATCCAGTAACAAAAAAACAAATTTTAGAGCGGGAGACGATGAAGATGATGACTTCCAGTTTGCAGATATTGTGGACGAGCCAATTGATTATGATGCAGAGCTTGGTGAAGGTCCCGAAATGGAAAATACAGTAAAGAAATGGGCTAGACCTATTATGCCAAATTTAGATCCCAAAAAAGATGCTGTGACTTTCCAACAGATTGATATTGATCATTATACAGGTAGTCCAATGCAAGGAATGCCCGGTGCACAGGTAATATTACTGAATTTTAAAGTAATTAGTTGATCTACAATGTGAATTCTCATTTAGATCGGTCCGGTTCCAATATTTCGAATGTATGGAGTTACGATGGACGGAAACTCAGTATGTGCTCATGTTCATGGATTCTCACCGTATTTATATGTTCAAGCACCTGCTAATTTCCCAAAAACTAAACTGTCTGAATTCAAGTCAAAGCTTGATGCTATAGTTTTGAAAGACATGAAGTCTAACAAGGATCATGTACAGGAAGCAGTTTTAAAAGTTGAGATTATTCAGAAGCAATCTATTCATTATTATGTAGGAGATGAGAAAGTTAATTTCATTAAAGTAACAGTCGCTTTACCAAAGATGGTTGCAGCTGTTAAGAGACTTTTGGAACGTGAAATAATCATGACTGAATACAATTTTCAAGATTGTCGATGCTTTGAGAGCAACATTGATTTTGATATTCGTTTTATGGTCGAGACAAAAGTCGTTGGATGTAGCTGGATTGAGATTCCAGCAAAAATGTGGCGTAAGAGATCTAAGGGAAGTTTTCCAGAACCAGAAAGTCGATGTCAATTAGAAGTTGATGTTGCTTTTGATAAATTCATAGCACATGAACCAGAAGGCGAATGGCAAAAAGTTGCTCCATTCCGTATATTAAGCTTTGATATTGAATGTGCTGGTCGTAAAGGAATCTTCCCAGAACCACAACATGATCCCATCATTCAAATTGCTAATATGGTCATGCGTCAAGGAGAAAAGGAACCATTTATAAGGAATGTCTTTACATTAAATACTTGTGCACCGATTGTTGGATATCATGTTTTAAGTTATGGAAAGGAAACAGAATTACTCGATGCATGGAGTGAATTTGTTCGTCAACTGGATCCTGACATAATTACTGGCTATAATATCAACAACTTTGATATTCCTTACCTTATTAATCGCTCAAAACATTTAAAAGTCAATAATTTCGTCTATCTTGGTCGTATTAAGAATGTTAAGTCTGTCATTAAGGAATCAGTCATTCAATCCAAGCAAATGGGACGTCGTGAAAATAAGCAAGTCAATTTTGAAGGTCGTGTACCATTCGACTTACTTTTCGTCCTTCTTCGTGATTATAAACTTCGATCGTATACTTTAAATGCAGTCAGTTACCACTTTTTACAGGAACAAAAAGAAGATGTTCATCACAGCATCATCACAGACTTACAAAATGGAACAGATCAGTCACGTCGTCGTCTAGCAATTTATTGTCTCAAAGATGCTTACTTACCATTGAAGTTATTAAACAAATTGATGTGCATTATCAACTATATGGAAATGGCTCGTGTAACTGGCGTATCCTTAGCTAGTTTATTGACTCGTGGACAACAGATTAAAGTTGTAAGTCAATTGCTACGTAAAGCACGTGATGCAGGATATTTAATTCCAACATATACAGGACAAGGAGGTGATAATGAGCAATTTGAAGGAGCCACAGTCATTGAACCGCGTAGAGGATATTATTCAGCTCCAATTGCTACTTTAGATTTTGCTTCTCTATACCCTTCAATTATGATGGCTCACAATTTATGCTACACAACATTAATTAAACCAGCAGATCGTAAGAAATTAGACTTAAAGGATGAAGACATCACTCAAACTCCATTGGGAAATTTCTTTGTAAAGACAAACGTACGCAAAGGATTATTGCCTGAAATTCTTGAATCTTTGCTTGGTGCACGTAAAAAAGCTAAAGCTGAACTTAAGAATGAAACTGATCCTTTTAAACGTAGTGTACTCGATGGTCGTCAGCTTGCTTTAAAGATTAGTGCAAATTCAGTTTATGGATTTACAGGAGCTCAAGTTGGAAAGTTGCCATGCTTAGAAATCTCGGGAAGTGTTACTGCTTATGGACGTACTATGATTGAATTGACAAAGAATGAGGTTGAAGGACGTTATACGATGAAAAATGGATATAGTGCCGATGTAGGTGAAATCATTTATGGACATCAATATTTTTAAAGAACAGTGAATTAACAATTTTTGGATATGCTTAATAAATTTCTTCAAAATTTATAGTAAACGACAACTTTGTGTTCATTATTGGTTGATGACTGAGTCAATTAATTAATCCAAATATATATCTGCAAAAACCGTGAAATTTAATTTGAAAACAAATAATTTGTTCAGCAAGACAAAGTTCATTTCAATTAAGTTCATATTTTTTGAGTTCTGAAAAGACGTTAAAAATTTGAAATTTAAAAATCCGTTGATTTGAAAGAATTATTTAGCATATCCAAAAATTTCACTGACTTTAGTAAAACCTGTTCTTATTCATCAATTAATTATGTTATCATTTGCAGGCATTCGTCATTTACGGAGACACAGATTCTGTCATGGTGAACTTTGGGACAGAATCATTAGAGAAATCGATGGAACTAGGAAGAGAAGCTGCAGAGTTTGTCAGTGAAAAATTTATAAAACCGATCAAGCTGGAATTTGAAAAAGTCTACTTCCCATACTTACTTATTAATAAAAAGAGATATGCTGGTTTATATTGGACCAAGACTGAAAAGTATGATAAAATGGATTGTAAAGGAATTGAGACAGTTCGTCGTGATAATTCGCCATTAGTAGCTAATTTGATGAACACATGCTTACAAAAATTGTTAATTGAACGCAATCCAAATGCTGCTGTCGATTATGTAAAGTCTGTAATTTCTGATTTACTTTGTAATCGTGTTGATATTTCACAATTGGTGATTACAAAGGAATTAACTAAGCATGATTATTCAGCTAAACAAGCTCACGTTGAACTAGCAGCTAAGATGAAGAAACGAGATCCAGGAAATGCACCAAAATTAGGTGATCGAGTTCCATACGTAATTACAGCAGCAGCAAAAAGTGCGCCAGCTTATGCAAAGGCTGAAGATCCTGTTTATGTCCTGGAAAATAATGTTCCAATAGATTTTCAATATTACCTAGAAAATCAGCTATCAAAGCCATTGCTGAGAATTTTTGAACCAATTTTGGGAGATAAGGCAGAATCGATTCTATTGCGTGGCGATCATACAAGAACAAGATTAAGTGGAACATCAAAAGTAAGTGCTCTAGCTGGTTTCGTTCAAAGAAAAGAGACATGTATTGGATGCAAGACTGTTCTGATTGGAGATCGAGCTAAAGGAGCTTTATGTCAGCATTGCGATCCAAAAGCTGATGAAATATTCCAGAATGAAATTGCACAGCAGTGCCAATTGGAGGAAAGATTCTCACGTTTATGGTCTGAATGTCAACGATGTCAAGGTGCTAGAAATGAAGAAGTTTTGTGTACAAGTCGAGACTGTCCAATCTTTTATATGAGGACTAAAGTTAAGATGGATCTAGATACACAAAATAAGAGGATTGTTCGTTTTGGAGCACCAGCTATGAATAATTGGTAACATATCATGTCCCTTATTTGTTTTTTTGTTTGAATAATTAAGAAATAAAGAGTTTGTTCCGTTTAAAAATTTTGTGTCTTATTGACTAGCTGCAAAAATAAATCGGCTAAGATTATTGCGAGCTAATAAGGAATAGGAAACTAATTACAAATCAGGTTTAAAGAAACTGGAAGAAAATTCTTGTTCTGACAGATATAATCACTTTAAAATTAAACATAGGAGTTACGAAGCACTTGTAAGAGATTTGATTAAATAAAGAACATGTAAAGTTCCTAGTTCCAGCAGATGTTCCCTAAAAGATCCAGTGACTACTTTTTCTTGATTTCGATAATAAACAAATTTTATTTTAATGCATAATTAATTCACATGACAATAATTTTATTTCCGTTTCCTTTTTCCTAGATCCTTTTGCTGCATTTTCTTTATACTTTCCTTATCAACTCGTCCGTAACTTCTCAAAAGTCCATCATTCCTCGAAGTCTTTTTTTGACCGCGATATTGAAGTGATGCGGATGTTCCAAAAATAGCTCGTTTATTGATCTTCGAGTCTTCATCCTTCATCTTTTTTCTCTCATCTAATATCTCCTTATAATTCCGTGCCTGTCTTTTCGGAGGTTTAGCACCTAATTTAACTAAAAGCTGCGTAATCTGATCTGATTGATCTGTTGCATTTGCACCTGATATTCCTAAATTCAATATTTCTCGTCTAGCTTTATCAAATGTCACTTCATTTTTATCCTTTTTAGGCCTCTTTCGTGGACCATCACCAAATATTGCATCAAATTCTTCATCATCTGTATCTTTATTTTTATTATTGTAACTTTGTGGGGGTTTTGTCTTCGGGAGTCTCTTAAGTCCTTCAAATTTAACCGCTTTGAATTCTTTTACCACATTCTGCTCTTTCTCCTTTAACAGCGATGCTTTTGTCTTTATCATTTTAAAGTTTAATTCAATTTCTTAATATTTATTTGCCACACGAGTTTGTTTACTTTTTTTTTTAACGAATGTCGAAATATAAAATTTTAATGAACGTTAAAATTAACGAAAGAAATTTTTCTGATAGCTCTAATTGCATTTTAATTAAATAATTTTGATCAAAATATATAATATGAAGATTACCGCCTTCTATTCAATGAAAATATAATACAATTTAACAGAAAAAGACCTTATAATCCCAACGTCTTTCTCACAAGTCTCTGTGCCATTCGATTAAACTCATCACGATTCTCTCTATACATTTTACTGGCATCGACATTAGCTGGCGACTCATTATTAGGCTCAGCGAGCATTGATACTACAGATAAGAGTATTTTTTCTACTGATTGAACTGGACTCCATCTTTCTGCGGAACTTTCATAGCCTGAAATTAATATCATTGGATTATAGACAATAATATTGTACCGTTAAATGACCTAGATCTGACCTAAAGGATCGTCGCCAGGACTGTGAAGAATAGAAATGCATACACGACCGTCAGGAAAGATATTTGGATGAAACATTTCACAAAGAAAGCTCATTTTTGGAGGATTCAATGGATAATCAGTTGGAAAAACGAGCTTTGCAGGAAATAAACCACCTGAAATCATACACTTTAGATTTGTATTGATAAACAGCATAGATCATTAATTAAATACCTTCAAAAACTGTATCGACAGGACCTGAAATCAGTGCTTCCCACTCGAAAAAGTTCTCTTCCGATATTGGTCCAGCTATAATTCCATCCGGAGCATTAAGTGTCAGTTCTGAAAATAGGCATTAAGTTGTATGTGCTGTTATTGACCATAAATTACTGCGACAATATGGATTATAGCAGTTTATTATTAATTGAGTTCATTGACACTCTAATCTTTGGTGTCAATTAAAATATATTTTAAAGTCGTGTGCATCTGGCGACTCAGAAAAATTATAGGCACACTAAGTAGGTCTTATGAAGAATTAAAAAAATTATTCTAGAAAATAAAATTGCTGATGACGAAATATTTTTGCGATTTATCCACGATTTTTCATGATTTTAAGCTCTACTTACGCTTATACTCAGCCATTAACCTCCTTAATGCTTGTCCTGCCATTATTTTGAGTCTTGATCTATGATAATTCAGCTAATCTTTTAATTTAATAATTTTTTGTATATTTTTTAAATGAAATAAAATTACTTGACGAAGATGACTAGTTTTGAATTTTCTATTACCGTTATTTATTTTACTTACTTTTTATTCCTATTTAATTCTATTGGAACTAGCAACAAAAACTCTTTACACTTTCATAATATGAATTTGACTTAATTTTACTTTTCAGCTCATCGTCATTAACCCACTCATATTTAAGCTTTTGATCAGCAACATCTCCAGAATTGTAAATTGCTCGAAAGAAGAAAACTTTAGCACCAACTGATTCCTTCCTCTCACTTAATGGATATTTATATTTATAGAATCCAATCGGTGCATTTCCATAGAAATGAACTTTCAAGTCAGTTCCACATTTATCTTTTACAATCCTCTCAGCTGTTTGCCTTAATGTCTCACCTTCGATCCATTTATCTTGTGGAAGTAATGTAACATTTTCCTTGCCAAGCTGATGATTGCACACAAGCATTAATGTATCATCTAGTTTTCTATTTAAACTCTTTGTGTTGTTCTTCTTGTCATCTTCCGTTTCTCTTGGTGCACATTCAAACTTTGCTAGCTCATCGTGTCCTGCATCTTCAAAATCTTGTGCTGTTTGAAGAACTATCGAGTCCTGTTCACCTTCGTTGTCTAGTTTTCCAGCTGTAAAATTAAATTTATGTAGATATAATTAATATATCAAGGTTCACTGGATGTTCTGCCTTACCTTTTAAAAGCTTTTGTTTCCTTGCATCTTTTTCTTTCCTGATTTCATGATCGTTCTTCAAGCTGTTCTCGAACTCAATTTTTTGAAACATTTGCTGAAATTACATGTTGAGCTAGTTAAATTATCTATTTTAAGCATTAATTAATTTTACTTACAATAACTTCATTTTCGATGTCATTAAACTTCTTAGACACAATTGGAAGTCGTTCAATCAGAACTCCAGCATACAAATCATACTTCTCTTTAGTTCCAGTTCGTGCCACAGTCGCTAATCGCCGTGATTGTATAATTAATGAATTTTGGATAATTTTTTTCAGCATGTTTACTTTTAAAATTCCTTCGTTAAGTTTTTTGACGAAGTTTTTTTTTGTTTACCGGTGATTTGAAATTTTTGATTCCATAAGAAGTGAAAAAAGTTAATTAAAATGAGTTTAGAGCAATCAATTACACAATTAGATGATAATTATATGAAGAAGAACTTGATAAGATCCAGACAGAATATACTGCGTGATGATTTGAGCGTTTCTAGTGCCAGCATTTATGGAAGTACAACACAAAGCGTGCTGTTTAAAGAAAAGACAGATTTACTTTATGGACATTTCCTAGCTGTCATTCAATCCAGCACTAATGAATTGGAGATTTTTGATACAATCCAGCATTTAAGGCAAGTCCTTGAAAATACAATAGATGATATGCAGGTTGGAGGAAAGAAAGCTTTTGGTTCAAATAACTGGATTAGACAAGAGATGAACACTTGGAGCTTAATTCATTGTCTTTATAAAGACAGATTGATTACACAAAAAGAGGAAATGGAACAAGATGATTTGCCATTAGTAAACAGCGAAAAATTGATTGTTGAGCATCTATACTTGAGTAAGTTGTTCCTTAATTCACAAAGTTATGGATTTCACTAACGTTCATGCTTATTTCAGATAATGCGACACTTCGTGAACATCAATTGATCCTCGATTGGCTAGAACAAACATCGTATGAAGAGAATCCTATTCAAGTTGCTCATTATGGCGATAGAAGTGCTATGGCTTGGGAAAATACTCTCCATCACTTACAGGTAAGCTAAATCTTGCACAATTATACTTTACTGGATGTTAATAAAACGATTAATTTACAGAAAGTCGGTCGAACAATGTTTGGAGGAAATCGTGAGCTTGTTAAGAGCTTAGATCCAGATGCACCACATCGTGAAAATCTCCCATTACATGATTTGGATATGGATGATCAGCAAAGACTTGTAAAGCATATTTTCAAGTGCATAAGACAAGGAAAAATTGATGAAGCTCAAAGTTTATGCGAACATTGTGGACAGCCATGGCAAGCAGCACTACTTGAAGGATGGCGACTATTTCATGATCCAAATTATGACTCGAATGAGCAGAAAAACATTAAGTTGCCAATTGAAGGAAATCCAAGACGTGATTTATGGAAAAAATGTGCTTATGCCATGGCAGAAAGTAAGAGATTGGACGATTATACAAGAGCTGTTGCTGGATGTCTTTGTGGAAATCTTGACTCATTATTAAATGTTTGTAATGATTCATGGTGGGATTTACTTTGGGCATATCTTCGAGTTAATATTGACATTCGTGTCGAATCAGAAATTCGTTCATGCTGTGCTAAAAGCTACTGTGAAATGCCTGAAAAATACTGGGATGCTAAAATGTCATTAGAAAGAATTTTCTCGGAACTTGATGGGAATAAGAATATGCTGGTTAAGGCTACAGCTCGTGCAAGCTTCGCAATTATCCAAAAATATCTTATTCTTGATGATATCAAGTCTTTATTACAGCACATGAATGATGTTTTGGAAACTGATGAAGCAACTCCACAAATGCTGCGCCTTTTTGCTCATTTAGTGCTGTTTATCAGACAGATTAATAGAAATCATCAAGAAGAAATGGGCGATAAAATAATTCGTGCATATGTTCAGTGCTTAATGAAAATTGGGGATGCACAACTTGTTGCTTTTTATACTGCAGCACTTCCAGCAAATCATCAAATGCAAATTTATTCAGAATTCCTTGAAAGTGTCCCAGAATCAGCACGTAGAAATTGTTTGGAAGAAGCTCAAGCTCATGGATTGGATGTGGCACAAGTTGCAAGAATTACAGTCGAAAGAATCCAAGGAATGATCGAAGATCCAGATCAGACAAAATTATTGGTAGGAGAAATGTCGGAACTTGATAAAAAGAAAATTTCATCCCTAGAATTTTTAATCTTCAGTCAGGAACAACGTTGTGAATTGTTATGGCAAGCAAATACAATGATGAGATATTTTCTAGCGCAACGAAAGATTGATGCTGTAAAGAAAGCATTTAGTATGATTCCTTCAGATTCCATTCAAATTTTAGTTCAATTTCATGGTGGGAAGACTAAATTACCACCAAGACCTGAATGTGCTATCCGTGAATATTTGTGTCATCAGACATACCTTGCTGCTATTGATGGATATAATGACTGGATAGAATTCTTCTATAATAAAAGACCAAAACAACCGAGTGCAGTTCAAGGAAGGAATTATGCAGAAAAAGCAGCATCTGAGCATCAGGAACAGCTTTATCAACAGGATATAGCTAGATGGAAGAATGCTCTAAAGGAACAAACTAGTTCCACAAAAGAATTGTTCTATAATGTCTTATTGTTCCCGGATAAAGGATGGCTTATCGATGCAGAGGAACTAAAGATTGAATATACATCCGACGATGATGTTAATGCTTGGGAAAATCGTCGAATTCAGATGGAAAATTTGAGGAAAATTCATATACCCGACTTAATATCTCTGCTGCATAAAATCTTGTCATTAGCTGAAGAGCATCAAGAATGTATTAAATTATGCGAGGAACTAGCTGCAGAACAGAATCAACTATACAACGTATTTAGCAAGCATAAACTCAGTGAATTCTTATCAAAAGTAGCTGAATCATCTCTGGCATTAATGAATGAGAAATTGGATCCATTTGGCTTTGCTACTGATTAATTTTATTAAGTTTTTCTTTTATTTTTCCAATTTTTTGTATTTTTAAGAAATGTTTACAATAAATTTTCTTTAAGAATAATTTCAAGGATAATTGAGTCATCGCTTGATAGTTTCACTAGAAGTCCAGAATTAATAATCAAATGGTTGCTTCCTAAAAGATTATTGTTGTCTGGCATGTACTTGACATCCACAGACTTACTTATGCTTGTCGTATAATCTTCATTGAAAACTGATAAAATTGAGTGCAACTTGTGGTCGTTGACTTTAGGCATTGATAGCCATAATGCTAAGAAGTCACCATTCTTGTTAATTTCACGATCGCCACTATCAAATAATTGCTGATAATTGCTTCGTCTGCACATGATTAATATTGGAAATGGATTTGGAAAGTGCTCAATGTCATGTATGCTGGATGTTGACATGCTTTCTATTTCTTGACGTTTATATCTGATTCCAACAATTCCAAGACATACATTTCGTCCATAAGTAAGGAAATTGTCATCAGTTGTTACCATCATGAGTATCTTTTCGTTAAGTGCTATTTCTTGAAAATCTACACGATGTTGTGAGCAGAAATGCGTTACAATTGTAGAGTTTGTTAATGATTCTTTACAGTCATTTAATATGCAGTTAAATGGCATTGCTAATTGTGGAACTTTAAACTCTTCCATGATATTTTGTGAATTACAGTGAAAAGCTAAAGTATGCTATGATTTAAACGGAATTTTAAAATTCAAATTTATCTACTGTTGTATGGTTTTCAAGCATTTCTGAGGTTCTCTATAGTGTATAGCACCGTTCAGCTTTGTTGATTATAAACTCACTAAGGGGCCGTTCACTTATTACGTTCGCATTTTAGGGGGGAGGGGGGGTTTGAAAATTTGTAACAAAATGTAACATAAGGGGGGGTGGGGAGGGGGGGGGGGGTGTCAAGAAGTATGTAACGTTCCAACTGTCGTCTGTCTTTTAAAAAAAAGTTCACGAAAATTCACACCAAAAACATTTTTTCAAATTTTCCACCTTTTTAATGATAAAATAAATTATGAACGTTCAGGGGGGGGGGGGTTGTGAGTTGTAACATATTGTAACAAGGGGGGGGGGGGTGAAAAAAGTCGTTTTTTTGCGTAACGTAATAAGTGAACGACCCCTAAGTTAGAACTTGTTTCAGCCAGAAATTAACGTCTTTTAAGTTTTCAAATCGCTTTAATTTCTAAACGCATCCAAATTTCGCGCTTAACGCACTCCAAAAACATTATTTTTTAATTCACTTCAAATATCGTTCTTTTTACATCTACAATTAATTACATTAACTTAAACTTAATTCTAAAACACTAAATTAACTGATTAACGTAAAATAGCACCGCTGAGATTTGATTATAAGGCATAAAATAGAGAAGCGTGAAATTTTTTCTATAATCAATTATAATTAGAAATTTCTCAGTTAAAAACACATAAAATGAGTGAATACAGTGATCTGGATCGTCAGATAGAACAGTTGAAGAGATGTGAAATCATTAAGGAGAACGAGGTTAAAGCATTATGTGCAAAAGCTCGCGAAATTTTGGTTGAGGAAGGAAATGTTCAGAGGGTGGATAGTCCAGTTACAGTAAGTCATTTTTTTTTCCTCTTCTCTTGCTCATTGCTCTTCTCGTTTCGTCATGCACGCATCATACTTTCTATGTGAGTCATTAATTTTTTTGTTCTCTGTTGTGTCTTTTGTGAAAAATAGGTTTGTGGTGATATTCATGGACAATTTTACGATCTCAAAGAGCTGTTTAAAGTCGGTGGAGATGTTCCCGAGACTAATTACTTATTTATGGGAGACTTTGTCGATAGAGGATATTATTCAGTAGAAACATTCTTACTACTTTTGGCGCTTAAGGTGAGTTTTTCCATTCGCTGGATCTTTACTGGATGTTTATAAACAACCTTTGTTATTATTTACTGTTCCGATTAGGTGCGCTATCCAGACCGCATAACGCTCATTCGTGGTAATCATGAGTCGCGTCAGATCACTCAAGTGTACGGGTTTTATGACGAATGTTTAAGGAAATATGGATCAATAACTGTTTGGCGTTACTGCACAGAAGTATTTGACTATCTCAGTTTATCGGCTATAATTGACGGAAAGATATTCTGTGTTCATGGCGGTTTGAGTCCTTCAATTCAGTATTTAGATCAGATCAGATCTATCGATAGAAAACAGGAAGTTCCACATGACGGTCCAATGTGTGATTTATTATGGAGTGATCCAGAAGACACACATGGATGGGGTGTATCGCCCAGAGGAGCTGGCTATTTGTTTGGATCTGATGTTGTCGCACAATTTAATGCTGCAAATGATATTGAAATGATCTGTCGAGCACATCAACTTGTAATGGAAGGATATAAATGGCATTTTAATGAAACAGTCCTAACAGTTTGGTCAGCGCCTAATTACTGTTATCGTTGCGGTAATGTCGCCGCTATACTTGAACTGAACGAGAATCTTCAACGTGACTTTACAATATTTGAAGCGGCACCACAAGAAAGTCGAGGAATCCCGTTGAAGAAACCTCAGGCTGACTACTTTTTATAAATAAACTCACAATTATTTCGTATAAACAAAAAAAGATTGATAAATTTTGCATCCAACATCCCAAAAAAAATATTGACAAAAAAAAAACAAAAACGGGGAAGGAGAGAGTTAATAATAAAGAATTAAGTTCGTGCTCCTTTATTTTTAATTAAAGTATCAATTCTTTTTATTTTATTTCCTATCATCCAATCATAATTGTAAATTTTAGATTACGTAAATAATACAAGATTAATATTTCAATAATGTAGCTAATTGGTAATAATATCGTGTGTAATGCTTCTCTCATAAAAAAAGCGTATGAAAATCCAAGGAGAAACAAAATCGATCACATTTTAGTTTATAAGAATCCATTTTTCCCTCATTTTAATGAACGTAAATCATCACCTTTCTTTTTATTTGTCAATCTTTTTTCCGTCTTAGTTTTATTAATGTTTAGTAAATTACTTCTTTTGCATTCTGAAAAAAATATGGATAAAAAAAAATCAACAAAAACTGCATCAATTCATTACATTACTTAATAATCAACATATTATTATGGAAAAAAATATATACGACAATTTAAAGAAACCCAACAAGAATGATGAATAAAGTGGAAAATTTTTAGAAAAATTGGAACCAAACTTTGTTTTTTTCTAGTGCTGCTGTATTTGTTTCATTGGTTAACGACTTTCTGAAATTTAAATTTTAACGGGTTTTACAGTTTGAAATTGTAGAGGTAGAATGAGATTCTTACAGGTTTCTTTATAAATTCCTGGCTTTAGATACTGATAACTCAAATATTACAAGTCAAAATGAAAATATTTTTACTTCTCTTATCTTCTCGGAAAAAGTAGATGTATTTTGATATAACATATGTTTGATTACTTTATGTATCAAAAAGTTGACCATTCATGTCCAAAATCTAAACTCGTCGAAAGGTTTAAAAGCCCAAATCTCAAGAGAGAATGATCAAATTAAAATAATTTTTGCATCTCGTTTTCTCTCGGAAAAAGTAGATGTAATTTAATGTACAATTTGTATCATTAAAGTTATTCTTGAAAAGTTGATTTGTAAGATCCATTTAAAACTCGTCTAAAAAAATTGGAAGTGCCATATCTCAAAATCTGTTTGCAAAAATGTTTCGCTCTCCATTTCTCTCGGAAAAAGTAGATATGTTTTAATATATAATTTATAAAATTTGGATGATTTTTGAAAAAGTTCTGTCAGCAGTACAAATGGATATTAGACGAGTTTGGGCATCTCCAGATCTCAGAAACTATGAGGGCTCGAAAAATTCTTACTTCATATCGGTTTCTCTCGGAAAACTGACAAAGTTTCAGATGTCCATTCGACATTATCCATTTGTACTTCTCTCACACGCTTTTTGCTTCCAAAAACCAAAAATTCATTGATTAGCAGAGTCTGTGAGTTTTAAGAATCAAGTACAATTTACTAACTTAATATCACTGACCAAATTTGTGCTTCAAATAATTAATATCCTCACTCATTACGTTACGCAAAAAAAACGACTTTTTTCACCCCCCCTCCCCCCCTTGTTACAATATGTTACAACTCACAACCCCCCCCCCCCCCCCCCTGAACGTTCATAATTTTATTTTATTTCTTTTAAATCTAAAAAGACGGTTAAATTTATTTTGTATTTTTTTTTCTTAAACATCAAAATACTGTACAGCTTAATAGGTCATGTTTTGATTGATACTATTAGTATTCTCATGAATTATTGGATTAAGATATAAAGCAAAAATTTGTTTTTTTTGAAAAAAATTTAAAATATCATGAAAAATATTATGCCCGATCGAATTTTGGAAAATTCAATCAGCTTTGAATGTAAATATCACATCATTGGATCATATTAATCATCATATGAATGACAGATTTAGAGAGATTATGATTGTATTTTAAAGTCTTGTAAACTAGTTTTCTTTTGATTTGTTATTTTATATAACAAAAACTATGTATTGCTTATCTATCAAAAGTGATCTGGACATTCATAAATCATTAAAAAGGTGGAAAATTTAAAAATAAAAATGTTTTTGATGTGAATTTTTTAACAAATTTTTTTCGTGAACATAGAACGTTACATACTTCTTGACCCCCCCCCCCCCCCCCTAAAATGCGAACGTAATAAGTGAACGGCCCCATAGTGAAGCTTAGAAAATAGAGTTTTAAAGCAATCAAAAACCACATCAAATGCAACCTGTCAAATTGTTCCCTCTCTAATTTTAAATTTATAAAAAACGTTAAGAATTTAAATTTTAAAAATCCGGTAAACTCCAACATTGCTTATAAATTAATCACGTGAACAGCATAATAAATAAATCTATAAAATTCTATAAAAATCATTTTTTTATTTAACAATTTTTTTTGCAGCTTACTCCTCTTAAAATGGCACTGAGGAGATTGCCAACATCAATCTTATAATCCGAGACTTACTACATATTTAAGACTAGATAATCCATTCATTCTTTCGTAGCAAAATGAAAAATTGATAATAAATAAATTAATAAGCTGACTATTTACTCATGCACGCTCACACGAATCATCAAACACGCATCAACAATATTTCGGGACATTCATCAATATGATTAACAATTTTTTTAAAATTTTATAGTCTAAATAACTAGTTGAGCATTATTTTTCTAAAGTCGTGAACCCCCAAAAAGTCCAAAGTTGGGATTCGATGCTGATGAGCCGCCTGAAAATGCTCCTTGTAAGACTTGACCAGCACCAGTCAATGCAACGCCTAAAAATCGACTTACAGCTCTAGTCACTCCTATCGCTGCTCCCAAAAATCCATTCTGTCCGAGTGGCTGGAAAATGAGTCAAAAGTTATGAGTATGAAGCATGTCAAGGATATTTTGATAAACTTACAGAATTGCCTACAAATCCCCCATTCGATGATGAATCTTGTTGGTCATCAAAGCTCAAATCATCGATATTTGAAGCCGTTTGCTGAGGTTGTGGCTGTTGTGGACGTACAGGCTGAGCAAAACTTGAAAATGGAGCAAAACTTTGTTGCCTTACAGGAGCTGTTTGATATCCAGGCGCCGTTTCTTGCCATGTCCTCCAAAGCCAAGATAAACCTTTGTAATTTAAGAAGCATTAAATAATATGAAAGTAATAAGAACTCAACTTTAAGCATTTACCATCTAAAATAGGTCGAGGCTGTCTGTTGAGTGGCGGCATCGGAGAGAATGGTCGTATAGTTGTTGTAGGTACTGGCGTTAAAAGTATGCCACGATTCAGTCTATTATCATTTGATAGCTGCTCAATTAATTTCTGTAAAATAGAAAATTAAGCAACATAATTTATAATCAGGAAGTAAATCTTACATCGATTGGGATTTGATTAATATTCGCAGGTCCAATGCCTTGTTGTTTCAATAAATCGGCAATTAAAGCTTCTTGTGATCTAGGACGAGATTGAAGATTTCTTGGAATTGAAGTTATTGGACGGGGAGATGATGTGCTTGTTGTAGTCGTAGATGTACTTGTAGTACTTTGTGATCTAGTTGTTTGAATTTGCTGTAAAGCTTGTAAAAATTGAGATTCTGAATCAGACAAATGCTTGAATGCTGGAATCGAGTTTGTAGATGAAGAAGATTGTGTAGTGCTTGTAGTTCCTAAAGTTGTAGTTGTAGACGCTGGAAGTGGAGTAAAAGCTGGGACTTTGACATTTGGTTTCCCCAAATTAGTGGCTGCAAGCTTAGCAATATCTCGATCATTTAATGGTCTTCCAATTAGTAAAGATAGCAATTGGATATCCTTATTATATTGATTTACATCTTTCTGAAGCATTTTCTTAGTCTTCTCAATTTCTTCAGGACTAAGCTTCGTTTGGACCCTTCCATTACTATTTCCTTCTATAATAGCACTCATCATGTTTATATCTTTCTGAGCATTCGCTATTTTACTCATTATAAGTTCAGGCGATTGTGTTGTCGTGAATGGAGCAGGCTTCATACTTTCTAATAGATTATTCGCCGATTGCTTTGAATCTACAACACTTTTACTTGTTCGATTAAGTGCAAGCTCCAAAATTTTCTGTGCTAATGCAGACCGTTCAGTCGTTAAATTGATAATACCTGCATAGTCGCGCTACATAGAGTTTAAAATTATTTAAAAATTTTAATTGAGATGATGGTAAAAAGTAATTGGTGCGGAAAGTATAGCTTCAATAGAATCATTAAGGCATTATTTTTTGTCTTGAGAGAGTTAGTATTAAATGTTGTAGCAAAATTGGGTTTGAATTATTAACAGTACTTACAAGATTCATCAGGAATGAAATATCATCAGCATCAGAATGCGTTGTTGGCAATCTAGAGGAAGTAAGTTTTGGAATTGTTGTAAGCGGTCTAGTTGTTGTAGATTGAGTTGTAGAAGTTGTTGGAATCGGCGTTGTTGAGGTTGTTGTAGACGGAGTTGTCGAAATTGTGGTAGATTGGGTTGTTGAAGTCGTAGATTGAGTTGTTGTGGTTGTAGATTGAGTTGTTGGACGTCTGGTTGTTGTTGTAAGTCGTCGAATTGTGGCAGTTGTTGCTCCCCCATTAATAAATTTTGATAATTGACGCTGAAAATTAGAAAATAATGATTAGATTGATATTGCCAACAATATTATTAATGCTTACCAAAAAGTCTAAATCATCTTGGTCCGTAAATGGTGCTTTCCTAGTTGGCTGCTGAGTTGTTGTAGTTTCAATAAACTTTGTCGATGGGGGATCATTTGGAATTTGAAGCGGCGTGAATCTATGAGTTGTTTTTGGAACGATACTAGTGCTAGTTGTTATTGCATCACTAACCGATTGAGTCGATGACTGATCAGTTGTTTGAACTGTCTGCTTGATTGATGTTGTGCTTGAAATAGCTTCTGTATTTCGTGTTGATTGAGTTGAAAGTTGCGTGGGAACTTTTCTTCTTGTTATGGTTGTGGATGGCTGAGTTGTGCGAGTTTTTGTTGTAATTGGAAGTTCCGTGGTTGAAACGAAAGTTTTTGGACTTTCCGTTGTTGATATGAAAAAGGTTGATGGAACTTCCGTGGTCGAATAAGTTTGTTGGGTTGTTTTTCGTGTATTTCCAAGCAACTGTTGGAGTATATTAACATTTGTGTCTACAAAATTTTTAGTAGTTGTTTTTGGTATATCCGTTGTAGTTAAAATTTGATTGGATTTTCGTGTATTTCCAAGTAATTGCTGCAAAATATCAAAGTTTGAATCAACAAAGTTTTTGGTTGTAGATGTTGGCATTTCCGTTGTCCGTAAATTCTTTTGGGAAGTTTTTCTAGTATTTCCAAGCAGTTGCTGAAGAATTTTCACATTCTCATCAACAAAGTTTTTACTCGTAGTAGTTTGTATGTCCGTTGTTTGTTGTACTGCTTTTCGTGTATTTCCAAGCAATTGCTGTAAAATCTTCTGATTCTCTTCTACAAAATTAGCAGTTGTTGTGGGTACAGTTTGTGGAACTTCTGTCGTCTCATAAATTTCCATTGTCGTTTTGCGTGTATTTCCAAGTAGTTCCTGTAACGCTTTCACATTTCTGTCAACGAAATTTATGTTTGTTGTTTGTGGAACTTCGGTAGTTTGAGGAATTTCTTTTGTAGTTTTTCGTGTATTAAGCAGTTCTTGCAGAACTTTTAAATTTCTATCAGCGATATTTTCAGTCGTGGTTGTTGGGAAAGTAATTGGTGAAGTATCATCAAAAAATAAAGTTGTAGATGATTGAGAAGTCTTTGGAATGCTTGTTGAACTACTTGAAATAGACGAAGTTGTTCGAGTCACTTGAACTGTTGTTTTTGGAGAAGGTGATGTCCTAAAGCCACTCTCTTCATTTTCATCAAAAAATATTTCATTTTCAAAGGAATCTCTTGTCGATTTTGGCAATTCAACAGTACTCGAAGTAGGATTTGTTGATGAATCAATTCCATTTGGATGTACGCTGACTTTGCCAGCAGCTATAGTCGATTGAGTTGTTAGTTTTTCTTCAAATTGTAATGGAGTGACTGTCGTAAACACCGTTTCAGGCAGAATGTAATTTATCTTATTTTCCTAAATTTGCGAAAATTGAATTTTAATGACTCAATAATCTTAAAATGAACACATTAAGCTTAATGACTTACCTCATGTTCACTTTGTGAATTATGGTCCAACTCGTGACTATGAGTTTTCTTTGCCAGACTAAAGATATTTTGACTTTTTACCTGTGTATCAGTCTCATTTTGATATTTTTGTAACAAGTCAAGTATTAAGCTTGAGTTATCCTATAATAATGATTTAAAACATATCTTACATTATCATCAATGAATTTTGATTTGATTTATGAGTCTAGTAAGTTTATAATTTGTGGTTTTAGTTTTCTAATGAAGCTTTCTATTTAAAGGAGGTTCATGACTGATTTTACTATAAAATGGTTGTTCTGTACTCAAACTTACAGTTCTTAAAGTTAAATTAATCAATTTATGCAAAGATTAAACTTTTTGAAAAATTCAAAAAATGCCACGTGTCATGAACTTCCTTGACAGCTAATTGAAATTTTGTCATGCAAATTAGTAAGCAATACGTGCATGTTTTCTATGTCTACTTTAAATTAAGCAAATCAAGCCGAAAAATTGAGACAAATGGAATTAAATTACCACAACGAACCAAAGAGTGCTTCTCTATCTATTTCTATTCTATTCTAGTATGCTTAAAGGAAGTGATTAGAGGAGGATAGGAGATAGGATGACAGATAGAAATATAATATATTTGATAGATAAAATACCATTTTAGTAGTCATTTCAGTAGTGGTTTTTGGTAAGTTCAATGTGGTAGTAGATCTCATGTTATTCTGCGGCTTATAATTATCGTTGCTTGAATTTATTAGGCTCTTAGGATCAATATTAGTAAGTTCAATTGAAGCATCATCACGAATCATTGTTCCATTCCTATACTTTCGTACTATTGTACCATTTGGTAAAATACCGTAAACTATATGCTGATTAGTAACGACTTTCGGCTCATTTACTGTTTTTCGTACGACTGTATTGTTTGATAAGATCGCGTAGGTCTCACGTTCATTTGAATTATCATTGGGAGTCGATAGATACTTATTAAATTGAATTATTTCACTTAATGAAATATTTAAAGGATTTTGAATTTTGGAAGGGATAACATGACTAGGTTCAGTTGGAATTGGGTTAATAGGATAAGCTTTCGTCATAGTAAAGTTTCTCATTCTACTCAAAGTCATTTTTGGTGTCTGGGTAGTCATTTTTACATTAGTCTTTTCTGTGGATGTAGCTTTTGGTTTTGAAAAAGGTTTTGGGGAAATTTCTGGGTTGATTTTAAGTTTAAGTAAACTTTCCTGAGGTTTTGTTGAACTTTCGTTACTGGAACTTGACTTGCTGGGAGTTTGAAGGAAGGTGGATGTCGTGGAATCTTCAGAATCAACATCTGAAATTGTTGGATTATCAATTTCAAAATTTGTAGTTGTTTCTTCTAATTTTAATGTAGAATCTATTGAATCTTTAGATTTTAAGCTAATTTTGGCTAGCTTTTCAGAGTACGAAGGAGGCATAGTTGTTCGCAATGAACTTTTAAATCTAGAGCTAGTTTTTCTTAAGTTTGGAGTAGATGTTGTTGGGAATCTTGTCGCTTCAGTTGAAGATTTGAGTTTGTCAGCTTCGGAAGAAGATTTAAGTCTGTCAACTGGTCTAGTAATCTTTATAGTAGAACTAGACGTTACTGGATCTTGAGTAGAATCTAGAAATACAGATTTTGTGAAGGCTTTTGAAGTTTGACTGACTTTAGGGATGCTTTCCGTAGATGTTTTTAAAAGTTCTGTTGATTCAACAGGTTTAAAGGTTTTTTCACTTCCTTTTGAACTCTCAGTAGAACCAGAAGGCATTCGATATTTAGTAGAATCAACATATATGGTAAATGGTTTAGTACTTTTTATGATTTTTATTGGAGTCTCAGTTGAACTCGATTGAAGTTCAACTTTTGTGAAAGTTCCGATACTATGACTAGATTTTTTAATTTCTTCAGTGGAACTAGAACTTACAGGAGCTTCAGTCGTTTGACTAGGACTTTTAGTAAAAGGTTTCATAGGCTCAGTAGAGCTCTGAGTCCTGAAAACCGGTCTATAAACAGGAAAAACAGAAGTAATGAAAGATTCCTTCTCCGTCTCATTCCTTTCAATTTTTCTCGTCATCAAGTCAAGTCTCGGTAAGAAATTGTCAACTTTAGACTTAACAGTTGTAGCCACCAACGGAGTCTGAGTAGAATTAACAAACATAAACCTATATCTCGGTATATTCGTTGATGGATATGCAATTTGGTCAGTAATATTAGTTTCATTGACTTTTCCATTTGTCTCATTATTTTTAGTAGTTAAATTATTAGTCAAAAACTCATGTGAGGTTGAAAACTCAAAAATATCATTAGTGTCTGTTACTTGTATTGTGTCATTGATTGGAAGTTCCTGAGTGAAACTAATATTTGTGGCTGTGTCAACAAAAGTCGGAATTTCTGTCGTATAATTAATATTAATGCTTATGTTATGAGGTAGGGAGGGGATAGAGGATGTGGTTTGGACATTAGTTGCTGTATCTTCAGTATTATTTACACTAATTGTTGTAATTGTAACTAATTCACTAATTATTTTATCATCATCAACTTGATCATGTTTTGTGGAATTTTTCTCTACCTTTGACGATTCAAAAGCCGCTGTAGATGTTGTTGGTTGTTGCGTTGTTGTAGATGTTGTAGTTGTCGATGTTGTTGTTGTAGATGTTGTTGAAGTTGTTGGGGTTGTTGTGCTAGAAAACGGTGCCTCAGAAATAAGCGTGCTTTCAGTGCTTTTATTATTCAAAAAACTTAAACTTTCTGTTGGTTTCGAAAGAATTTCAGCCAATGCTTCGTAAATAGAAACCGTTTGTGACGGCGACTGAGTCATAATTTCAGCATCATTTTGAATTAATTCAGCAGCTAATGGCAAAATTTCTCTCCACCGATCAAGATCAATATCGTTAAGATCAAGCTGAAAACAATTTGTTGGGTGGGTTATTAAAAAATGAGAGCACAAAAAAAAGGAGATTTAATTTCATTCATACAGGATTTCATGCATACATATGTCTATAATGATATGTTGTTTGTGTTTTGTAAGCTTAAAGCTAGTCTACTTTATATACAATCTATTGTGTGTGCAATTATCTTGTGTCTATGAGGTGCAATAAGCTCATGAAACTACTTTTAAGTGTATTAATTGCATGTTTAGCTATAAGGAAGACAAAACATATTTTTTTTTGCTTTGCTTGTTCAGCATTATGCCAAATAATATATAATCAATCTTTCAATGCTCTGTACTCATGTAATGCTTTATTTTTCTTTTGAATAAGTTAAAGTTGTTTTTTTGGCTTCTTTTTGCTTATTTTTTGGAAACTTTTCCTTTCTTGGCTTTTTGATAAGGTGTCGTTGACTTTTTACGCAACGCCAAACAAGTTTTGAATCATTCATTATTTATTTTAATGAAACCACTTTAGAAAATCTTAAATTCTTTGAGACAAGCTGACAAAAATGACATTTATGGACAATATAAAGCCAAAGAAATGAAAACAATTGTGTCTCTGAATCTTGCCTCATGATATATTAAACAATTTAAAAGAAATGACATGAATTGGTCTATTGAATTGATTCCCTGATCAAAGCTACTTTTTCATAATCTAAAGACCCAATTTTATTATGTGAATATTACAATTTTATTTATAATTGTTATTTAGACAAGACTATTACGCTGACAATATTCATTTATATTTTAGAAATACTGCTTTGCTTGCTGGTTAAACTGAATAAGTAAGAACTTCAAGTTTAGGTCTAGAATTTGTAGATCTCCCTATAACTGCCATATGTGTATACTAATGTAAAACAAGTAGGGTTCGATGAGAATCGAACTCATGACCTCAAAAGAGGCGATCTCTGACCACTCGATTAGAGATCCCTGCCACTAACCCACCGGGGTACTTATCTCACTTCGGCTATCCATCATATACACATTACCAGTTCAACGCCAGCCCTATCCTCAGACATATCTACTACAAGTATGCTCTTCAAGCCATATCTACAGAGTTTAGCGAATGAGATGTCTTACAAAGTTTCTAGTGTCACTTAACTTTACATCTTTAAATGTGCATAATCGAAAACTTTCTTTACCAAAGTTCTACCAATAAAAGATTTTATGGATATGAAGAAGCTTCGCACATTATACACGATATTATAACTTCTTGGGTATTTTACTAAGATCCAGTAGCTCAAACCTTTTGAATTTCTTAAGACAAAAACTAAAAAAAGCAAGCCACAACTCTCAAATTCATAACTATAAAATAAGTAGCAAAACATTAAGTAACATTCAATTAAAATCATTTTACAGAGCATGTAAAGATGTTTAAAGCCATTAAACGCATTCATGTAACCAGTAAAATATTTTAATTTAATTATAAAATAGTTTCGTTGACTGTAAATAAGTTAATAATATTAAGTAATGCAATCGATAATTTGGTAGTGGAGTAGCACTCAATTAGAGGAAATAGAAATGAATGGTGAGGAATAAAAGCTATATATTAAATTAGATTAGGGGTCGTTCACTTATGACTTCCGAAATTAACGGTCATTTTTCAAAAGAGAACAATAGATTTCCTGGAATTTCTATTGTTCTTTTCTTGCTGACCCCCCCCCCCCCCCCCCCCCCCTGGACGTCATAAGTGAACGGCCCCTTAGACTTCGAGGTAAAAAATTAATTTTCAACAGTTAATAAGATGTTTATGAGAAAATAGTAAGCAGTAAGAGATAATGTTGGAGTGTCTGTAATTTTTAAGGCATTCCTATTTAAAAATTTCTGTGCTTCGAGTCAATGTAAAAAATGTTTAAATTGTTGTAATCTCAATCATGCGTGGCATGTTTAATCATGTGTGGATAGCAAATCACCGTGTGTATTTAAATTTAATTAAAGTGAATAAGGAACAGCTCTTGAGATTCTTTTAATCAGATTTTTTTTTTTAGATTATTGGAAGATATCTTCAGTTATGTGAATTTTGGCTAGACAATTGATTGATAAAGGCTGGAAAATTTAGTGATTTAGATGATTTCAAGTGTCTAGTGACTCAATTCTCCCTTCCGACAGTGATTTTCACTAATTCTTTAAGGGGCTGTTCACTTATTACGCAACGCGAAAAAATGACTTTTTAGACCCCCCCCCCCCGTTTTGTTTGAACCGTAACAAAATCTTAGACCCCCCTCCCCCTAAAAGCATTACGTAATAAGTGAATGGCCTCTAAGTGGATTGGCTATATTTGTAATTCACAGAGACCTTGAAATAGTTTGTGAATATTAATTATTGGCACGGAAAGGCATACACATGCTAATTTAATGTCACATGCATGCTAACTTGACCTTAAGAGTGATCCAGATGAGATATTGACAATGAATTAGATCTAAAGCAATTTTAAAATAATTTGATGGAGGAAATACGCAAAAACAAGATGAATCATTCTTAAAATCAATAGCTGGAGCTTTAAAAGGGCTTATAAAGATCTGATCTTAGCTCAGAAGTAATGTAAATTCAAAGAAAAAAGAACATTAAAGGTAAAAAGTCAATTTCTTAATTTTTTAAACTTGATTTTTAAATATAAGGTCGGATTAGGTCATTTCTTAAACAAAATATTGTTCTCCCAGCTATTTTGAATATAATTTAACATTAGTCTTACGATCGATTCCCCAAGCATGTTAACCCAAAATTTCCTTAAAAATCTGACAAAGATCCTCTCAAAGAATTGCAGATCAATAAAAAATGAAACAACTTATTTTTTTTTTCATCTCAAAAATTGTAAAAAAAGCTCTAATATATTTTTCACTTCTTTTTTGGCTATTGTAATTTGGTTTGACAGTTACCATTAATGTCTAATAATAAAAAAAGTGTAAAGTGTAAAATTAAAATTAAAAAACATAATAAATTGTAAAATTGAGCAAATCGTTGAGTCAATAACTGATTAATTAGGTATTAATTGAATTTGAGACCGTTAACAACAAAAAAAAAGTACAAAAAATTATTGCGTATCCGTGCATATGTGTGTGCTTAATATTGAAAAATATTAAAATTAAAAAAAGAGATTGATCAATATGAGATTGAATAACTATCGCCGTTATATCCACTGAAAGTCCATTGAGGTTGAATTGCAGACGAATGCCATGGAGGAGCTTGCAAGTTATAATTATAATTATTTGCATCAACTCCACTACCAAAATGATTTTGTGTTATCGAATATCCAACCCATCCATCAGCATTAAATGCCTTTAATGTAAAATTGATAATATAAAAAAAAATTAAAACTAATGAGCTATGTCTATCTATGTCTTTTTATGGTCTTAATTTTTTATTATTAAATTGAATTGTGACATACACAAAAAAATAAATTAGAGTAAGAAGCACAAAAAGCAAACTCAAGACAGCAAAAAACTCAAATGGAATGCGAGATGAATTAATGATTAGCAACAAAATATTGGCAATTTAAGTCTCAACTCACCTGTGATGTTGATGTTATTGTTGGAACTGTTGCTTGGTAGCTTGGTTCCCTGCCATTTTTCGACAAATTTTCAGAATTACGGAATCGAGACGAAAATTTTAAAGCCGATGATGAAGAACCAATCTGTTAGTGACAATTCATGGATATTAGTAATTTGTTTTTAAGGTTAGATCAGTGGTGGACAACTTTTATGTTGCGGCACACCTTATGTATCAGATATGATATACATATATCAGATATGATATACAAGTGATTCACGAATATTTTTCTGGGTTCTACGTGTGCCATGACACAAAAAAGGTTGTCCACTCCTGAGTTAAAGCCGGTTGGAGGAACATTAAAGCTCAATTGGGAGTCGGTTATTGTTAAAATTCATAATAATAATATTAAGGACCCAAATTAAATCAGATTCATGTTCTGTCAGCAGTAAATTGGAAAAAATAGAACTCGATGGTAACAACTCTTTTATTCCTATATAAAGGACGTCATGCACACATGATCAACAACAAATAGAAATAAAATTCACATTCATTCTTGCCAATTGATCAATCAAAAGCACTAAAGATACAGTTCTAGCAAGAACAAGCTATAAATATCTCAAATCACACACCCAGCTAACCTTCCGTGTCCTTCAAAAATCAACAAAAAAAAAATCCCCACTTAAGGTCGCGAAACATGATTGAGTACTTACTGCGTTCGTTCGTGGAATATATTCACTTATTGGTGGATCAATTTGCTTTAGTCCATCAGCTTGTGTTATAATCCTATCTTCGTAAGCTTCTGACTCTTGCGCGACTGGTGATCGTGTTGCATAAATTGGCGTAGATTTCTTTATGGTGGGAGGTTCCTGTAATGTGCTGCCAATATTTGCTCTTGTTCGCTCTGTTGGACGTGTTCGAGTTCTTAAAGGTCGTTTTGGAACAACTGTTACACTTTGTGATGATGACGAAGGTGCTTCTGTTGTTGTTGCTGTTATTGATTGTGCTTTTGGAAGGAACCTGTTTTGTCGTGTTGGAAATAGAACATTGCTTTTTGGCTTATTGGCACTTGTTACAGGTCTTATGGGTTTTTCTGATGTTGATGTCGGACGGAATGGCTTAATTGGCTTCTTAATGACATTTTTGTCATTTCCTTCTGTAAATACTTCTTTGCTTTTTAGCAATTGCTTAAAATGTTCTGGATAATTGTCTCCATCATCTTTAGTATCACCAGCCTCTTTACTGGATGATTTTGGACGGAAATTTCCACGTGATGGTGGAACTTTCTTAACTGGGGATGCTCTTGTGGATGATGGCGCTTCAGATGTTGTTACGATAATTTTCTTTCCGGGAGATGCTCTTGTGGATGATGGAAATTCAGATGCTGTTACGAGAACATTTTCGGAAGTTGTTCGTAGTGTAAATGGACGTCTTGGTTTTGCTGTTACAACATCGGAAGTATTTTTAAGGTGATTTTTAAATTGACTGCCTGTACTGCTTTCAAATTTTATTGTAGCTGGCGGTGTTGAAATGGTTGTAGATGTCGAGTATGTTCGTCGCTTATACGCCGGACGCAATGTAGACACATTAGGCTTTTTCTCAATATTTTGATCTTGTGGTGCTGCAGCCTCAAAATTTCTTCGATTCTGACTTTTTACAGCATCACCACGATTTCTATTTTTAATTTGACTTTTAGGTACGAATTGTCTCTCATGAGGCGATGATGGAATCGATCTGGCTCTATTAATCTTTGTTTCGGGTAAATAATCTACATGATCAACAACGGGATTCCATGCACCATACTCAATATTGGGTTGCACAAATGGCTGCTGTTGGGCTGACTGCACAAGAACATGCTGTGCCTAAATGGGGAAAATGGAAAATTTCAATTAGAGTTCCACATATACATAACTAATTTACGTTATCTCACTAGACATTACATCATGTCGTCATCATAAGTTTTTACTTATTGCACGCATGACAAATGTTAAGAATAACGAAGCATAAAAATGAGCCATAACATACGCCAGTGAATCAGATGATAGTTATGAGACTTTTTTTTCTGCTTCCTAATGTTTTCTCAATTGACTTTTCCTGCTTCTTTCTTTCCAACGCTTGTCATAATCTTTGTGACATAGTAATTTTCAATATTATTTTGACTCTAAGTCAGTGCTTCTCAAACTATGCTCCACAATACATAACTATGTCAACAATGCCTTCAGAAATGCCGCAAAATGTATGAAAGAGAGCCAAATTTATAACAATTATTTGGTGCCTTGGTGCAAAAAGTTTTAGAAGCCCTGCTCTAAGTGTTCAATCTAAAAAAGATTAAGAACTAGTCGCGATTTTTAATGCTCTAATAATTTTAATAAGTTCAGATTTTTACAAACCTAATGAGGCATACTCAGCGACTGATAGAGAACGGGAAAAATCTCTTGATTGCCTTGAGAATGAAATTTTCTATTTTTTTGCATAGTTATAACAGTCATAACTTCAAGTTATAATTAAAATAGCTACTTGGCACTTGTAGGCTACAACTTAAATCAATTTTACAGCTTGAATAATGTCTTCCATAAAAATGAGCTACATTTTTTTCAACAACATTAATTTTGTGTCTGAATTTAGTTGTTTTGCTAGCGAAAAATGTCTATTAAGACGTCATGTTACTCAACATACTTATTTTTACGTTACATTTTGGCTCTTACTCATTTTTATTGCGATGAATTGTCTTGTTTTAAATGATCGTGCTAACATGTCTTTCTACACGACAGTAACTACCTTATATTAAGTGAGTATGAAATTTTCTAGACTTTTGAAGGGTTTATGACTCAGATTTTTTAGGAAGGAATGATTTCTACATTTTTCTTTGGTTTGGACACAAATTACATATCTCGAAAGATTAGTGTGACTTAAAATATTTTACTGTGCCTTTCTTAGGGGCTGTCCACTTATTACGTAACGCGAAAAAATGACTTTTTAGACCCCCCCCCCCCTCGTAACAAAATTTTTATGAAAAAAAAATTTCCTTGTTTGAACCGTAACAAAATCTTAGACCCCCCCTAAAAGCGTTACGTAATAAGTGAATGGCCCCTTAGATAGAATTGAATCTTTTGTCGAACCATATAAGAAGAAACAACTGCAATAGATTCTTCTTAAATCTGAAGAAATTAAGACTGGTTCCTTGAGTGTTACAAAATCCGTAACCTTATTGTTCAGAACCAAAACCATGCTAGAAATCCTTCAATACGCAATTACACACAAGACAAAAGTATATCAATTGATTTAAATCGACTTCTATTAAGCACATTTATCAATCCACAAGCATAAATCCACAAAAAATTCCAAAGCACAGCTCTAAAATTTTAATTCCCGCCGAACATCAAGTTAAGCAATAATACAGCAATTTAGAAACAATGACACACAGAAGAAATTTTAATTTCATGTAAAACATTGGCAGTTGTTAGACAGCAAGTAAGTAAAAAATGGAAACAAAAACAAAAAAAAAGTCTCAATTCATCACAATCTTGATTATTGTTGCTTTTTAAAGCCAATTTCTTGAGCACGTGTCTGTTACTTTCCTCCTATTCTCTTCTTCTGTACTTTACATTCGCGCTTACTTTCGTCTACATACGTTTGTATAGCCAAAGGCGGAACAAACACTAAATTTTGATGAGTGAATCAGCTGTTTTGGATTTTTCATTATTTCATTGAACTTGACGCATTATTAGCTTCAACAACTTTTAATTTGGTGTTTCCTCTTCAATTCCGATAATTCTGTAAACTCATAAGTGAAATACTTTCGATTATATTAAGCTCTTCAAATTAAGTGATTTGCAGAAAAAAATGTACGAGCTGTAAAAATATTGAAAGTAAGAGTATTTCATTGATGTATGGACCATGCACGAATGAATTGGACCCACGTATGAATATATACTATTTCTTAATATGAGTATTGGCAATAATATTACATCTAATATGATTTATGATCGCGTCACTTTCGAAATTTATCTTATGCAGCTCATTAATTACGATTTATGAAATTCGGCAATGCGATTGCATCTACAGCAATGTCTTTATAGGGTTCCAATGCTCATTTGTTTAAGAAATTAATTTTAATTTTTTTTTGAAGAAAAAGAGAAAAGGTTTTGTGCATTAACGTCAACGTGATGCCATATAATATGTAATTTCTCACGTATTGATTCCATAATTTTGGCTGTTTAGGCTACAATCATTATGAATTATTAAATAATTGCTCTGCTGGATGTCAATAATAGTTTTGCATATGCTTATCGACATGAGTTTTATTTTTCGGCATTTAAATGAGCTTTCAAATGTTTTTAATTGATTTTTCTTTATATCCAAAAATAGCAGATTAATGTGGCTCTCAAGATTGTGGACGAAACTATCTGACATAGAGGCAACATCGGAGCCATTTTATAAAAGGATTAGATTTACTTTCGAGAACATAGAATTGTCTCAATATCAACTCAAAAGTTCAAGATTCAAAGTCTTTAATATCTATCAATTCAAAACAAACTTAGTCAATTAATCAGATCAGATCAATCTAAATAAGGCTCACAAGATTATCATCTCACGAAACCCATAAAACTTTCAATTCATAAACATATTCATTAGAAGCAAGCACAGCAATAATAATAATGAAAACTCACATGAATGTAACGGAAGGTTAAAGATCAGTGGATCTGGGCAGATAAAATTATGCTTGCGACATTAATATTCATCGATCAAGAGCAGGTCGCGAATTTTTAATGATAGTCGTGGAATGAATTGAATGAAAGTTTAACGACTTGTTCTTTGTCGTTTGTCAACTGCTATTAATCTTCCATGTGTTGTCAGATGTACTTGATAAATGTGTGATGAAAGTTTTTTAAAACAAACATTTTGAAAGTCTCTTTTTCACAACTTTAATTCATATAATTGAAGTACGAACAATATTTGGAGTATGAGGGTACGTACAAAAGTCTTCAATTACAGTTCAACATGTTATTTGAATATGAAAAGGTGTTATTTACGAAATTAAAATTGAAGAATGTTTTTTTTGCTACTTTGAGAAGCATCATGTGCCGGTAAACAAAGTAACCTAGCTTGTTGGAGAGTAAGAAGTCTCATTTAGATAACAAAACTGATTTAAAGATTTAAAGAGCTTATTGTTTTGAGTATTTTTGAGGATTTATGAAAGATAATCCAAGCTAGTATACTACATATTATTATTATTATTATTAGGATACTACAACCGACCAATACAACAAAGACTAGCTACATTGCTCATAGATTAAGTCAAAATAATGATTAAATAGTTTTGGACAAATTCTTAATCTGAATTAAAATATATCTAATCTAAAATCCTTCTTTTTTTTATTCTTTCAAAGCAATGACAATCTTCTAGTAGATTATAAAATGCATGATCTACTCGGTGTTTGCATTAAGATGCCTTCAACCTCAAGTGCTGTCTTCTTCTTGTCAATATTTTTATGAATTAACCGAATCATAACATATTTATTTAAAAGATTTATTCGCATAAAAGTAAAAGTTGTACAGAAAGTTGAATTATATTTTTTTTGGGGAAATACGCCTTAAAATATAAATACTTAAGTGATTGAAAGGAATAACCTGTTTATCGTTCGTCTCATTAAATTTCATTTTACTCTTATTGTATATGTTGTAACTTTTTATTTTGAGGTAATCAAGACAATTTTTTGACTGGTTTTCTTAAACTTGACACCAGCAATGTCACATGCGCATAAATTTCTCTTGAATTTTATCACGTAAGATTGCAATAAAGGACTTTAATGTTGTTTTTAACTGCTCATTTATATAAATTGAATGTTATTAAAATTATGGCAAAGGTTTGTGGAAAAGGAAAGTTTAATTTAAGGATGGGAAAGTTTGAAGGAATTAATTGATAATTATTGACAGTTTATTGGCTGCATAAAATCACTGTAACATGAGATTCTAGCTAAATTCAGTTTCCACAATTTAAAATTTTTAAATTTTGTAATCACAATCAAACTTCGTCAAACTTGAAAATGCAGTAAATTCATTATCAATTCTTTTCAATTCCAAGAAGAAGCTTTAAAAGCTGGTCTAAGGAATCAAAACTACATCTTTAGATTCATCATTGAACATTTTACTTTTGAATCTCTACAGAATAGTAATTTGAACTTTTTTTAACCAATAACTTTGGTTAAGGCACTAAATTGCAGCCAATCTTGTAGTTCATTGAATATCAACTCAAATCACATCCTGACTCTAGACTTTTAAAAGCTTTAAATAAACTTATTTTTAAAAATTTACGTGCACATGAACTGGATTTCAACACAAATAACTCAATAAATCCTTGAAATTAGTCACTTCAATAAAAAACAATTTTGACGTCATTATCACCCTAAGTTAATTCCAATTTCAAGTCTGTCTGAATTATTCAACTTATAATATTTCAAATTAGTTACCCTTTTGAATGGAAATGTCTAAGAAGTAATCATTGACTGCCAACAGCACAAATTTTACTTGTTTTTTGTTATAAATTTAACAATTTGATGTGAACATAGCGATTTATTATTAATAATGCATAAGGGAGCTACTAGCTGGTGTAAAAATTATTCGTTCCTGAATTTTAAAAATGTTTCTCGCTTATTTGCATATTTTTCCTAGAAACTGCTGGTGTTACTCTAAATTCATTTTAATGACGATGTTATGGCTTATTTTTTGGCAAAATAGCAGAAAGTAGAAAATCTTCTCACCTGAATGCTGTCGATAAATCCAAATAAACAGCAAATGGCCAGCAGTACAATCGGCATTATCCTCAATTTGAATTTATTCCAATTCATTTCATCTGTGATTCTTTTTTTGTTTGTTATAAATACAAAATTATTAACGATGATTATCCAAAAACTACTTTCAGTAAGCTCAATAAAGAGTTCAATTTATGTTCCAATAATTTCTTAATTTACATTTAACATCACTTGAATAGTTTAACAGTAGTTTTAATATTATTATAATTTTTTAAAGCACACAAAAATTACTGAAAATTATTCTGTAGAAGAAAACACAAAATTAATTATTATTTTTCACTTCCATCCTTCCGATCATCAATTATTATTCTCTTTCTTTCAAGACACTTGACCAAATACACAAACATTACGTATACGTCCACTTTAATTCATCTAAATAATTTAATGATTATCGCAATTTGCTACAAGTTTTACTTTTCTCACTTCTTTTTAAACGCTCTTATTTAAGAGTCTATAAGAAAAAAAGTGTGTATATACATGCATGTGGATTATGCAAAAGAAATAAAAGTTAATTGCACAATTTTTTAATTTATATGGCGAGTTAAATGATTCGAGATTTTGAGATACATTTCTTCTTTTAACAACTTTTTTATTTGCATCATGTGAGGTGTCGATGAAATGGACAAGTGATGAAAACTTTTGTTCCAGATTTAAGATTTTTCTAGACTTTTCACAATTTCACAACATTTTAAACACTTCATAGTCCTTATAATCTTGTCAACAATCCTCAAACCCCATATAATGTATCCAATCCATCACTTAAACATTTCACACCAACAACTTCACAAAAATCTCAATTAATCCATCAAACCAATTCCCCCAAAAAACTTACAATATTTATCAATAAATTTGAAATATTTATTTATCGTACTCGCTCTTTCGGTATGATCTGATCGGCACGCAAAACGAGACTAAATAATAAAAACAATCGAAAAAGCTCATTTTTTTCCTTTACTTCAGCTATGCACACAAAAGTAAACACACTTGAATGATCGCGTACTTTTTTTTCTTCGCAAAAAAATAAATCAAAGCTCTGCTGCTTGTAAAGGAAAAACAGAAAACAAGACTCAAAAGCAAAGACGTAATGGTATTGATTTGGTGCATTTAATGCTCAATATTTAACGACAAAAACAATGTAAATTGGTAAGAAAAGTCGATGGTAAATAGATTGAGCGCATACTTTGAGTTTGTCTTGAATATTAGATCAGTTCTGGTTTTTTAAAGGCTGTTAATTCATGAAGTTTAAGATTAAGGAGCTTAATAGTTTAGATCTCTTTTCAGACCTCTCTATTTGGAACTTGATGTAATTTAAAGTTTCTTGGAATTTCAAGAAATCATAGTTTTAAGATGACTTTGAAGATTATATCTTAAATATCGATTGAAGAGATCTAGATCTTTGTCTAAAAGTAGTATTAGACCATACTAAGGTTAAACACAAGATATGATATCCAAAACTCCCCTAAAACTCAATCTTAATCGTCAAATATCAATTTTTCCAAAATCACAGCCCAAAATGAATACCAAAGTACAAAAAAACTCAAAGTACACGACAATTAAAGTATCAATAAATAGGAATTAAGCCGAAAAATCACATTCACAAAGACAGAAACAATAAGAGAGAGACTTAACCAAGCAATGGGTAAGTGAAGCGAGTAAAATGATCATAAATAACAAGAAACTACCGTCAAACATTTAATTATAAAAATAAAATGTATGTAAGTAAGTGAATATATAACAAGCAATCCAGTTACAATGATCAATACATATCTACTTCGTCATATATCGGGCAGTGAGGTAAAATTAAGCCAGTTGTATCACAAAAGCATGCGACTTGTTTTATGTAAAAACAGGCAATAAGAAAATATAAAACAGAACTCCTTTCACTGTCTCTGTTTTGCTACTGCGGTTTATGTATAAGTGAATTTACATAATTCTGAGATATTAGATGAATATTGAAAATTATAAGTTTAGGGAGTATGAAACATATGTGATCCAACAACATGCTTCATGAGTTCAAACAGTCGATAATTTGTTAATGTCATAATCACAAAGAAAAGTTCAATATTTAAACAATATCAATGGATTAATGTGGTGAGGTCATTTTTGAATGAGAAATTATTCAATTCCAGTCTATTCAGGTATTTGTGAATAAGATATTAGTGCTGAATATTTGTAGAAAATATTATTACGTAGAAATTGTCAATAATATGAAACTGATACAAATTGTTTATAGACATAGCGTAATACCGTATTGGGATGCATGAGAAAATATGACAGCATGATAGCTGTCGGTATGCATCAAAGTTGATGAATGATATAATAAGCTCAATATGTTGATGAATGCGATTTTAGCCTGTTTTAATACAAATTGTCAAATTTCGCTACTTGATATTGAAGTGCCGGCAATTTTCATGACTATATACCAACAAATCAAAGCTAGTCTTCATGATATCCTATGCCTGACACTTTCAGAAATTAGAAATTCATATCAAAATAATCAACAGCATCGCTAATTTCCTTCATTTCAATTGATCAATCAATTAGAAAGCTTTAAGAAACCTTAAAAATTTACTACCTTCTTGTTACTGCTTGATCTTCTATTTATTTATTTTTTGGATATTAAAACAAAGGTAATGAACTGTAAAAATAATCAACGGCATCTTTAAAAATAATTTGAAGTACTGTTCATTGAGATTAGAAGCTGTTTCTGTACAGTTTTGACAGAGATTTGTTTTTAAATTGACTTGTTTGTACGGGTTTGTACTTGAGAGTGTTTAAGTGCCGCTAACTTAGATGTTTTAGTCATTGATGCAATTTTTGGACCCGCTACGTTGTTAGAATATATGTTGAGAGGATTAATAATCTTAAAATTGCACATTGCCAGAAATTTCTTATATGAAATTTTAATCCTGAGGAAGAGTAGACGTAAGACAAAATGAAAAATGAGACCAAAATGAATGAAAAAAATCTGTGATGAAAAACATCATTTTTTTTGATGATGAAACCAGTGTATCGGGTAGAAACCCAATGCGGATATATTCACACCGTACCATCAAAAGTCTTATGGATAGACCAAGATTTGCTCAGCATAAGTTTGAAGGGTGGGCGTGAAGTACAGCCGAGACTCATATCCACACAGTTCAAAAGTTATACCTAATTTATGTCATAATTATGTCAGCTACAAAAACACTTAGTTTGAATTTTGTCACCCTCGGGAACACTATGAACCAGTATAGCTGATTTTGGTCCAAATCTCGGCCATACTTCACACTTGTTTGAATCACATTTTCTCGTAAATGTTAAAATATTTTTAAAAAGGAATTAATCCTAAATTATGTCGCTATTTTGTCAAGTGTTTTAAGATAATAATTTTTTTTTGGTTTCCACAGTGAATAGTATGAACAAAATTCAGATGGGGCAGTCGAAATTTTAGATTTCGATTTTTTTTAAGCTATGCATTACAAAAAGTAATATTGGTATGAGATTTATGTCTGAATTATGTCAATTCAAATAAAACATCCAAAACATTTTTCTGACCAAAGTACACCATAGAAAATCAATTTTCAATTTTGGACTAGGGGCGACCCTAGTCAAAATCAATTTTGTCACTTTTTTCTTCGAGGGTTTATACAAATGGATTGAAACTTTGCATAAATATTCTAGTGCTTAAAACAAATACAAATAAAACATTCTAAATTTTTTTTAGCATAGAACCAAGTAGGAAATACATTTTCAATTATGAACTTGGGACAGGTCTAGTCAAAATCTAGTTTTTCACTTTTTTTTTTCTTCGAGGATAAATCCAAATACAGTAAAACTTTGTATAAGCATTCTAATCCTCAGGTCACACATTTCTGAATTAATAAAAATCATATTTTTGGACAAAATTTTAAGTCACATGGTTTTTGAATGTACAACCAAATTTATAAAATTTGGGTTTGACGACATATAGAATACATTTCTTGCTTTAGATATTTAAAACTGTTTTGTATAAATATTAGCATACTCACACAAAGTTTCACTGTAATTGGATAAACCTTCGAAGAAAAAAGTGACAAAATTGATTTTGACTAGGGTCGCCCCTAGTCCAAAATTGAAAATGTATTTCCTACTTGATTCTTTGCTCAAAAAAATTTTAGGATGTTTTATTTGTATTTGTTTTAAGCACTAAAATATATATGCAAAGTTTCAAACCATTTGGATAAACCTTCGAAAAAAAAAATGAAAAACTAGATTTTGACTAGACCTGTCCCAAGTTTTATTTGAAAAATTTGTAAGAAAGGAAAGTTTTTTGCTATTTCTAAAGCAACGGCTGTTCCTACCTTGCCTAAAAACAATACAGCTTTTCTATAGAGCAGCACGGATCAAATGTAAAAAACTAGAAGTCTCTACAATGTCTCGTTATTGAGATTTCTTGCTGATTAACTTGCTTGAAATCCTACGTAAAAATGATTCTTACGTGATGAAATTTTACGTAATAATTTACGTAGATAAAAAAAATTATAATTTTCTATCTTGGATTTCTATAAGTTTAATACCTACAAAGAATCATAATTCTAGAGTAAGGCTTCACTAGGAGCCTTAGATACCGGCTGATTACCATTGAATGGTTAAGAATAATTCACATCAAAGTATTTATGCGCCATTCCCAACTATATCAAACAAACCTCATTTAACTTTCCATAATCATTTTCTCGATTTTCTCCTCACACTTTTCTTAATATGAACTATAAATCAACGCTCTACTGTGTCTTCTGTAAGTGTCAAATTTACCGCAAAAAAATTTTTTCCTTGCTTTTTATTTTTTCACTTTTTAATTGGAAAATTTGTCCAAATGAACATTAATCCTCAACAATAGTTCAAAAGAGATGTAGAATAAATGCAAATAATTTTTCAAATTATAATTGAGAAATTTTTATGTTCATACTTGAATTGATAATAAGTCAAAGAGAATTAATTGAGAGGAAAATCAAGGTGGATTATGTTGAGTAAATCTATTTGTTTAAAGCAATATCCAAGCACCTATTTTAATTGAAGGTCAAGCAATGCTTATTTGAACTATTTAATTCTTATTTGTTATGTCAGCATGATTGCATCTAATGAGCATTAATGTGGAACTAAGTTTAATATCACGCATATGTTAATGTTTATATGAAGGATGTTTAATTCAATTGAGTCGGTCAATCAATGTGATGTCTTAGTTGTTTTTTATGTCTCGATATGTTTTTTTTAAGGATATGACAGTTGAGAATTCAAATTTACGGATAATTAAAGAAACCTTTTTTTATTTGCAATCATTTTTCGTCCCCCTTCTTTGAAAGAATAAACTGAACTGAAATTTTTTTCGTGAATCTCAAATTTCCAATTTTTATCAGCACTTAAAGTATTCAAATTTATGTTGTCGTATTAAAATAAATTTTAAATTTTTTAAAAGTGTGAATCTAGTCATTCTATAAGCAGTCGTTGATGATTGAAGACGCGATGTTATTAAGAAAACCTGATTTTTTAAGTTTTGTTAAGTTCGCTGGATTTTCAACATTCTCAGGTCTTGTTACGCATTATCTGATGAATCCACGAGAGAAAACCATTGTTAATGAGACGAATGTTGTTGTTGCAACAGGATGTGATTCTGGACTTGGATATTCAATGGTTTTACATTGCCATGAAAAGTTAAGAATGTCAGTGGTTGCATGTGTCCATCAATTGAACAGCACAGGAGCATTAAAGCTGAAAAAAATGTTCGAGAACTCAGATCGATTCCGAATGATTGAGCTTGAAATCACAGAGGACGAGAGCATCAGTGAAGTGAAAAAGTTCGTTAATGACCTACTTGAAACCGACAAAGAATTAGGTAAGTTGCAGTTTGAATTATTTATTGCCAATCCCAAATTAGCCCGCACTTAAAAGTTGTTCCTGATTATAAAAATAATTCTAATCCCCAACAGAACTGACTGCATTGGTAAACAATTGTGGAGTTATGGTCTTTGGCGAAGCTGAATGGCAAACGAATAAAATCATTGATCAACAAATAAATGTGAATTTAAATGGAACAATTAAAATGACCACAGCCATGCTACCTCTTATCAGAAAGCACAAATCTCGTATTATTAATGTAACAAGCCATTGCGGGTTCAGAAATCTCCCAACATTGTCGGTTTATGGAGCAACAAAAGCAGGACTTATGTCTTATACAGAAGGTCTTCGTTTAGAAATGCAGCAATATGGCGTTGATGTTGTTGAGTTTACACCTGGATCATTCATAATGAACTCAAATATTACTGCAAATCAGCTAGTCTATGCAGCTGAGATGAGAGATTCCTTTGATGAGGAACAAAAGAAATTTTATGGTGAATATTTTGATCACCTGAACATGTACTTATCAACTATATCCGGCGAAAAAGATCCACAAATATTGCCAAATCCCCTCATTATGAGCACTTTCGAGGAAGCTTTATTGGAAACACCACCAAAACGTCGTTATATCTGTGAGCCATGGAGATATAAATGGTATCACTTGCTATTCAGAATCTCACCAGCACCAATAGCTGATTGGCTAGTATGTAAATTCATGAGTATGCCGCGATTTAACTCTAAAGCTATAAAAAATTAAACTGTGAACTTAATAGATGATTTGTAAGATTAATGAAACCTATGCATTTATGGACTACGCAATTTGAAATTCCAATTGAAAAAATTTTAATTTTTGATTTTATTTCAATAGCGACAAAAGTAACTTAATAAATTTTAAATGTTCGTACAAAACATTTCCAGCTGTTCTTTTAGATAATTTTATTAATGAACTTGGCAATAGGAATCGAATTTTGGAGTAAAATTTCATCGAACATGCGTTTTTTTGCAGGCAATTTGTTTGTATTATTGAACTTGAAATGGTCAGCTATGCAAAAAAAAGTTTTAAATTATTTTTTGTGGTTCTTTTGTCATTGAATGAGATTTAAAGGTTTTGTGTGTTGGTGCTGAGAGAAATCTTAATAATTCTCATATCAAAGGTTATTAAAATTCTACGAACGATTTATAAATTCAAATTGATCTGAATCATTTATTGAGTAGACTCAATAAGAAATAAGATTGATATTTTTAGAATTTCAATTAATCAGATTTAAAACAGGCTCGTCAACATTCAGAACTTCCTAGAATTAAGAATCAGTGATGTTATTTATTGATATTCATGACTAGATTTGCCTGAATATAATTTGAATGTTTCTGTCCACGGTTTTTTTTTGTTCAGTTGACGTCTAGGAGCTGCATTTTTAGATGGAGTGTCGTTGTGTTATCTCAGGAATTTGAGCTACCAACACCAATTAAGCACTTCAGCACAGGAAAACAAAAATTATGTCTCATTACAGTCCAAAAGAGAATTAATGATTTGTTTATATTCACAAATCTCTCGTAACACATATTAATGTATGACTGGTATGACTTACAATTGTATAAAAATAATATGATGATAGCTTTCATTCAATTTCATTGAACTTGAACGATTGCATGCAATTTTCTTTTCCTTCCTGCATAAGTGCAGCCTAACAAAACTTTCTGTTGTTTGCACTGCACATTATCTTCTCATAAACATCAACAATTTTAATATTTTCTTATGAATGTTTATGTATTTTGTTTTCTTGGCTGGTTCAATATCAATAAGTTCATGCAAAAAACTATTGTTGCGAAACAATAGATTTTGTGGAGGATTAGACATGATTTTTTTTCAATATTAAACGAATGAAAATTGTTTGAATGCTTTAGTATATATTTTTGGAAAATTCTGACTTTGTTGGTTGCTCAAAATTATAAAGATTCGTCATATTGCTGTTATTGAGTTCCTTTTGCATGCCAGAGTATGGTTTTCAACCATGATTACTTGTGATAATTAATTTAATAAAAAATGTAAACAGAAGCAAATAAAATTTCTGGATATTATACGAAATCTCTTACTTTTGACTAAGAATAAACACTTCTCACGTTGATTAATCTCTTCTTGCCACTTTTTTCCATTAATTGAACTTCTTAAACCAAAGTTTATTTGTAAATGAGGCTTAAAATTTGCAATTCAAAATCTCTAGTGAGAAATTAAAAATGGCGGGAAACAAGAATTCAAATATGTTTAAATCAGCATTAACGACACTTTAATAATTAATAGGCATATTCCTGCAACAATTTAGCTACATTTTATCAATTAATTGCATCCATTTTTCTATTTAGCACTTTTTAATTTCCAATTCATGATCAGTCACCTTCAGTGACAATGAGGTGAATAAGAAAACATAAAAATTAGAAATCGGATACTTGAAAGTGAGAGAATAATAATGGATAAATAGACAAAAGGAGATTGAACTGACCCATTGTTGCTTTTATATATTACAGTTTAAAAAAAAATCTACGATAATGGTGCACCTATTTTTTGTGCTCAAAACTTACTTCACGACAAAAAAGTTCCATTTCATATTAAAGTATATTTTTACTATTATGCTACTTTCTGCAGCAGACATAGGGCATTGCAAAATCATGAACTATTTTACATTAGACAGATATATGTAGAAGGCGAAAGACTGAATTTAATTACAATAAGCATTATTGATCCAAATTCGCTCAATTTAAAACTATATCCACATAGTAAGAGAACAAACCTTTCAAAATGCAATGGAATGTCAAAATTTTATTATTATTGAGACCATTCTTGTTGTTTTCCGGTTCGAGCTAATAAAATAAGTCATGAGAGTTTTGAATTGGAAATAATGTTTGAATTTGTCATCGAGTGGTCACGACATTAATTATTTTGCATTTAATTTTGTTGGTCTGCGATTAAATTCGAAGGAAGAATAAGAAGAAAATTTACGCTTTCATGAGCAAGTATTCTCTGCTCGTGCCCAGTTTGATCTTAATTTGTGAATTTCGTATGTGAATTTAAGTTTAGTAACATTCCTGAAAGCCGATTATGACATCTAGATTTCCCAAATAGGCAGGGCAAGTTTGATAGAGTGTGAAAGTGATTGAATTGTTTGAGATTATTAATGCTAAGTCTGAAGCAGTCTAAGAATGTAGTCTCAATGGCAGAAACATCTAACTTCATTTCAGAACTCTAATCCAGTTCGAAGTAGATGATTTGCAATCTAAGAAACAAGCATTTTCATGAACTCAGTTTTATTTTTAATGCAATAAATTGTTCCCACCAATTTTCCTCAATAATCCAATAAAACATAAGCAACTGCTGATTAAGGAATTCGTAACAGTTAAGAAATCAAACCAAAAATAAATAATAAAATATTCAATTTAAATCCATTTCAAGTTGATCAGAAAGACATAAAGTGAGAAATCAAATCCTATTAAACGCATAATAAAAGACTAGAGCCTGATCGTGATCAAATACTTATTGGATCAAGCCACAGCAATCAAAAGTGATCTGAGAAAGATAAATAAATGTTTATTTGCCACACAATAAATGATATGAACTCAGACATGTGATGCAAATTTTATTCAAAGGCAAACAATGTGCATTGAAGAGACTCAAATTACTACTTGATGTTATTCAGTTTGATTTTGTACAAATTTGCATAATTGTTGAGCACATGAAAGTTAATTTTGAAGGGTTTGCAATACAATCGAGTGAAATTTTTATTCAAAAATGGATGTCTTTATGTACCAACAATAATTAGAGTCGCGACTATAGATTTATGACTACATTGAATAAATGAATATACGGAACGCATTTAAAGTCGCTTACGCAATTTATGTGTAATATTTTTATAGCATTCTTCATGTCTTGACAAATGTTACGGTTATAAATGATCTGGTTGACTTGTGACGAATTTGTTGTTATAATCTTTTGGGCTCGTAATAGCTTATTTTTTTTTTTGGGTTTGTTGTTTTATTTTGGCTGAATTTTGCTGGGAAGAAGGAAGTTTTTTACCAAGTCATGAATCAGGAATTGATCTAATTGCTTTATTGTAGCCAAATGTCTTAATAGTGATGTTGCTTGGTGAAATGTCGTGAGAATTGTGCGAATCCTTATCATATTGACAATACTCTATATAATGATTGAAGTATCAGTCTCTGGTGGGATTAGAAACTACGTCTTCACAAAAGAGTGTTAATGATATCAGTTCTGTCGTCTAACCACTCGCGTCTCAGAGGCCTTACTCTCGCAATGACAGATTCGCCTACAAATGGCTCGATACCCCAGATTCTTTTTTCCCGAAACCATACTCGGGTTAAATTTTTACAAACTTTTACAGATACTGCTTCACAGTGCTACACTTCCAATCTAATCCAAAAATAAATTTTTGATATCCGTTTCATACCTCACCACACATCAAATTTCAGCCGCTGTGATTGACACAGCTCAACATGCCTCAGGTAAATTAATTGATTTTTTTTTTTATTCCACCCATCATAAATTGATCAAATGATTCAATGATAATTCATAACTAAAGCTCTCTCATAATTTCGCTAATCACACGTTTTTCACTTTCATTTGGTAATCAGCACTTTGCTTCCTATAAAGTTTATGGTTCAATAAAAAATTTTATTATGCGAGTGTTACTGAAACTAATTATAACTGAGCAGGTGCTGTTCAATAGGCAATTTTATTGGATGATTTGTTAGGATTCCTTTGAACTTGCTGTGCTGGAATTGATTCCGAAAATCTGAGATAAGGTGACTTTTAGTTCTCACCATAAAATGACCTAGTTTTAGACGTAATCTCTAATCTTTATCTGATAGGAACTTAAAAACTTGTAAAACATTTTTCTAATTTCCTTTAACAGCTCAATTTATGCCAACGCTTTTTATTTTCAATATTAATTAATATATGTAATATCAGAGTTGGTAACCTTAAAATCTAGTTCGATATTTAGAATCTGAAATGCATGAGTCTAGGAATTACGACTGATAAATCCCCTAAAATTCTTATTTCTAGATTCGGTTCATGTCGGTTCCGTTATAGGAGTATGTTATGAACTATTAACTCCATAATGGTCTTGACTATAAGGAAAATACAAGTTAATATAGCTTCAGATACAAATTGACTTCCCATTTTAAATTCAGCACTTTCTGAGCTATTGTTAAGACCAGAATAAAGATACTTACAAAGCATCATCCCAGTATCAACTCTGTTAAAACTGATCAAACAATTAAAATGAAGATTAATATTGAAAGTTGAATAGTTTTATGAACATAATAATTATCATAAAAATTTATCTAATGTAATAAGTATATCCATCATTAACGTGCATGTAGGTATTGAAAGAAAAATAAATATAAAACGAAAGATATATTAACTAGCAAAGTATTTCTGTTGCAACAGAAAAATATATTCACTTTCATTTCATTTACTTCTCATTTTGTGTCATTGAAGCCTTCAGAACACGAAAGAAATGTAATCGTTTCGTAATGTGTGTAGAAAAGTATTCACGACCATGTCATTAAAGCTTTCTTTAAAGCATCTTCAATTATCAAAGCGGGGCAATTCTCCAGATAAGTTTTTCAAAAAATCATCCGGAGAATCAAATTTTCTCGGAAATTTTCCATTACCAAGCATAACTTTTACATTTAAATCGATGTAAAATGGCAAAAACTATTATATTTTATCTATTTAAGTCTTTGAAAGTAGCCAATAATTAAGTTTTTTCAATTTTTTTTGCAAATTACTGTCAGCAAAAAATGGAATAATCATCCGGAGAATCGAAAATTGAAGAAAAGTAAACACTCATTTTTTATTATGATTATGCAGAAATGTAGTTTTTGA